ATAAATTTTTATTTTCGTTTTTACCAAATTTTGATTGTCTGATGGCGTACGGGTGGACCTGCTACTACTTAAAAATTGAAATAAAATTCTCTATACTTCAGGATTGTGTAGGGCTTAGTCCCTACAAGAACTCTGGTAATTTTTAGATGAATAGAATTGTTAAATTTGGTAGAAATAAATTTTTATTTTCGTTTTTACCAAATTTTGATTGTCTGATGGCGTTCGGGTGAGGGTGCTACTACTAAAAAATTTAAATAAAATTCTCTATTCTTTAGAATTGTGTAGGGCTCAGTCCCTACTAGAACTCTGGTAATTTTTAGATGATTAGAATTATTTAATTTGGTAGAAATAAATTTTTATTTTCGTTTTTACCAAATTTTGATTGTCTGATGGCGTACGGGTGGACCTGCTACTACTTAAAAATTGAAATAAAATTCTCTATACTTCAGGCTTGTGTAGGGCTTAGTCCCTACTAGAACTCTGGTAATTTTTAGATGATTAGAATTATTAAATTTGGTAGAAATAAATTTTTATTTTCGTTTTTACCAAATTTTGATTGTCTGATAGCGTATAGGGTAAAAGTGGGTATTGTCGCGGTATTTTGTATTTTAATGAATATTTCAAATAATATAAAAAAATTTTGACTCTTAAAAATCACTCTTTGAACCTGACATATAAGACATTATAATTTGTAGCATATTTTGGATTATTTTTGAATTATTCAATTTATTAAAAATTATTTAAAATTTGTTGTCTGAAAAACGTTTAAAATGGCTCACCTCGGATTGAAATTCAACTCTTCAGTAGTGTCTAAAATTATTGTTCTTATATTATATAATGCTTTAAGAGATGATTCTTTTTTTATATTTTGGTAAATATATTGTTGTTCTTCATAAAAAAAATTTGTTTAGTTAAAAAAAATTAATTTTTATTAAATATTTACAGTCACGATAATGGAGACATCTTTTTTTAACATGTGGGTATTTTCGAGGCTTGTATCATAACCCTTGTAAGTAAGGTTAGCAGTATGTCTCTAAAGATTAAAACGTTGAAATTATAGCCGATATTATTTTTCTTGTTTTAATTTATATTTTATTAAAAAATAATTGTGTATATATATATATATATATATATATATATATATATATATATATATATATAAAATTAATTTTCAACTAAAGAAATGTTGAATTAACATTGTTTTCCATTTTGCACAATAACCCGTGTGGAAAATGAAAATTGGTCCTAGCCAGGTCCTACCTATTTTGCCCTGTTAATAGCTTGGTCCTAGGTTGGCAGTGTAGGTTGGACCAACAATGGGTGGTGATGCCATTCTAGTCTGGTCCTAACTTGGGAGCCTAGTTAGGACCAGTTTATGGGTCCATTTTAGGACCTAGAAAGGACCATCTCAGACAGTATTTTCTATTTCATTATAATTTTAATTAGTTAATAATATTTGTTAAAGAAATAACCTAAATTATTAATAATAAGTATTAGTTTTAATTAATTATTATTTTTTTCAATTAAATGATGACCAAAAGCGAATTCATAAATAATGTTAGTATATGTAGAGATTAATATATATTCCTCTAATATATACATTAAAAATTATAAAAAAAATTAGAAACTTGTTAATTAAATTATTTTACAGTATATATAATCATTAAATTGCTTACTTATACGAATACAACGCAGAAAAATCGGAATAAACGCAAACCTAAGAAGTAAATAAAATCTAACGCACGCGGGAATCGAACCTACGACCTACGGACTACGAGACTAACGCCCTAACCACTATGCTAATGAAACTAGTTGAGATCAAAATTTTTATTGTCAGTGACTTGTGAACTTGCTTTTGATGATTCAATATAGTAATTATTGACACTAATACACGATAATAAATAAAAAAAATAGTTTAACAACAACAATAATAATAAAATAATATCAAAATATAAAAATTCAAAAATTAATATTTTTATATTATATCAAGAAAAAAATATCTGTACATTTTCGTTAAAAACAGGTTTTTCATTGTTCTCAATCATTTTCAACATTAATTTCTTGGTCTAAAAAAAATATTCGTCTTTTGGACTTGGAAATTTTTCCTAATTAATTAAGCGGGTGATCCACTTTTTAGAAAAATGTCAAAAAAATTTATGTTAAAAACACGTTTTTCATTATTCTAAATCATTTTAAGCATTAATTTTTTGTTGCAAAAAATTTTTTAGACTTGGACTTAGAAATTTTTACTAATGAAACTAGGAAGCCCAGGTAGGTCCTGGGTTGGACCTGGGTGGGTCAGCCCACATTCGAATTGCAATATCTCTTAGTGTTTAGCACCAACTTAAACGAAACTGAAAATCAGCGAACGAAATTAGAAATATATTTTACTAATGATAATTATATTGCAGTCTGTATCTGTTTAAATAAATAAATAAATTTTGCTGTTATATTAACTTTTGTAACAAATTACTTAAAAATTTGCAGTTTTTATCTAACTTCGCGATTATTACACTTGAGTAGTGAAATTGACAGTCGGCTATGCCAAAAGTCATTTAAGAAGAAAAGAAAATATGAAGATAATTTATAATTTTAACAATTCAGCATTTGTTTAAACAAAAAATTGTTGTTATTTATTAATTCTTAAGACAATAAAGCGTCTAGACACTTGCAGTCTTTTAAAATTTTGCAATTAACTAATTTGAGTATTTACTTATTGCAAAATTAGAAAAAACTGCTAGTTTCTAGGTTGATTGTGTAAAAAGTTAGTAAATAACAATTATTTGTTTAAACAATTGCTGAATTAATAAATTAATAAATTAACTTTATTTTATAGTATTTGTATAATTTTCTGATTTATGTCAAACAATAAATTGTTTAAACAAATATGATTATCAATTAATTTTATAAATATTAATTGAGAATATTTATCAATTTTTACATGTTTTTCATGTATCAATTTTGACACTTTATTTTCCTAAAAATTTTTCTAAGTCATAACTGGATCTCCTAGCTAGTACCAAGTTAGGACCAGCCCAGGATATATAAAAAGGGGTTGCCAAGTTAGGTCCAAGCTAGGGCCAATAATCATTTTAGGCATAGCATGGTGATTTCTACACGGGAACTGTTAAACACATTTAAACACAACAAAAATTTCTTTTATTGGAACGTTCAGAATTTTAGTAAATCTTATATAACAGTTACAAAATACAAGCAAGAAAATAAAGAGTAATGGGAGGGACAAGAAAATTAAAGTAAGTGAGATCTGTATATTTTAGGGAAAAATTTTTAATAGCTGTAAAAAAGGAGCAAAAGTGTCAAATGAGAATTGACTGTACGTTAGAAATATTTGATAATAATTGCTTTAGAATATTTTATCACAGTATTATTTTATATTATGAGACTAATTAAATTATTATAATAAAACCAAGTATCTTTCTTCTAGTGATACTAGTTTGCTATTGAATTCGTCCATTTATTATAATGCATAAAATTTTTTTAATTAAAGTTCTTGCGATATTTATATTTTTATTTTTAAAAACTATTATTATTCCTTTTAATTTTTTACATTTACTAAATTTTAATTAAGTAACTATTACAAAAATCCAAGAAGCAATAAATAAATTATCCGCGATAATACACTCATCCACGATAATTGACACGCGAAAATACCCTTAAGTCATTCTAAGTCCCACGAGATTACAAGCATTTGAGTCTTCTATTTAATTATTTATTTAAATATTAAAACTATTTTCTACAACATGTATATGCATATATTTATCATTAGTTTATTATTGATTATAACCTTTTTTTATTTAAAATATTACAAGGGAATAATATTTTTAACCTTTTCTTAAAAGTATTTTTATTACTTACAAAGCATAGATTTTGTGTCTAGTAAGAAATTATTTGTTTGTTAATTTATTTATTATTAATTGATCAATTATTATTAATTATTATTTAATTAATAAAAATTTTAATTATAGTTTTGTAATAGTTTTAATAGTTTTGTAGATTTATAAAAATGAAATTACCAGAAATTTTTAAATAAATAAATTTATGTGTTAAAAAAATTAATTTATTGATTGTCAATAACTAATAAATTAATTAAATTTATAAATTATTAGCAACAACAAATTGGAAGTTTTTATTTTTTTAAATTTTATTATTAGGCAATAAAATATTTAATTAATTTTTTTAAATATATGGGTTTTTTTTGTTCTGATTTGTCAAAATTTTAGTTATTTAAAATAACTTAAAGACTAATTATATTGATGCTAGTTTTATAATCCAGATTAATATGATTAATAATTTGAAAGTGGTAATACTTAGATATTCAATTTTATAATCCCGATTAACTGTCCTATATACAATGTAAAAATATTATAAGAAGTATAATCTGGATTATATCACATATAATCCATTTTTCTACGTGTAAATAAAAGTTAAAAACAGGTTATTAAAATCTCAAGTTAAATATTAAAATTGTTTAAAAGTCGTTAAATAATTATTAAAAAATTTTATGAAAATAGTAGATATTAAAAATCATTGAATTGCGAAAAGTTTTTAAAAATAATTAAATTTTACTAAGAATTGAATTTAAATTTTTGTAAATAATTGAATTCTTGCAAAGAATTAAAAAAAACATTTTTATGTTTGTATGTTTTTATAATCATTAAAAGTTTTTAATGTTACAAGCACACTAAACACAATATTTTTTAATGCAAAATAAAAATATTGGAAAAGTAAACTTCATGGTCAAAGTATATATATAAAATTCTATACTTTTAGAATTTAAAAAAGATATAACTGCACACGTGTTTTCAAATACGATATATGGTATAATCGTTGACAATTCTTTTTATGTATTTTTTAATATACATATAGCTTTATTTTACTAATAATAAAAAGAAGTAATAAGAAAAACATTTTTATTTCACAATTTTTATTTTTGCTTTTTCGTGATATAATTTATTATTTTTTATCTTTGTAAAATTTTTTAATAAAATTCATGTTTTTTTATGTGCGTATACGTTATATGTAACGTGATATGATAGTAATGGTTTAAATAGAGAAATACGGGGAATTTTTTTTCTATTATAATCATAGGTGCATTGAAAGCTATACACAACCGAAATTGGTAAGAGAAATTTATAATTTTACTATTTTAAAATATAAATATTTTTTTAATAATTAGTTTTATTAAATAGTAAGGAAAATTTTCCTTATTTACTCGCTAACGCTCGCATGCAACGCATTATAATTATTGATTTAATTCTATTATAATTGGAATATATTTTAATGTAAACTTATATTGTATAAGAATTTAAATGATTTTATGAGGATGATTTGTAGTCCTGCAATATTTTAAACAGTTTATTAGAAATATAAAAACGGACAATAAACTACTTATATTATCTTTCGACCACAAGAAATTTAGAATAAATTTTATAAAAATACCCACACAGAAAAAAGATATCATTATAGGATATCCATAAGATATCAGACTTTGGCACAGGATAAAATATAATTTATATATATATATATATATATATATATATATATATATATATATATATGTATGTATATATATATATTGTTTTGTTAATCATTAGAAGGTTTTATGACAATAAAACTAATAAATCGTTTTGTCAAACTAATAAAATAAATTTACGAATTATTTTAAGGTATAACCTCGTTCGTTCTGTCAAGAATTATATTTAACGATAATACTATAACAATCGTTTACAAAATGACAAGTTACGGATCACTGTGTACTTGGATTGCAATTATTTTAACCATTCTGTCAATATCCCTTGATAATGAAGTTAATGCCTCTGACAAATATTCAAGTAAGTTTCAATGAATATAGAAATATATTATGTGATACTAAATACAATAAGTATTGTACTATAGTTGTAGAAAATTTTTCAGAAAATGCTTACGGAAGTCGAGGTATTTATTTGTAACAAGTCGTGTATTTAACAATATAAGTATTACAATTTTTTTATATGAACACCACTTTGCATCATGAACAAAAATTTCACTTAATCTGTATTAATTCATTTTATGACACTAATTATTACTAATTATTTTGCAGATGATGATTCTCGTTCTTCATCGTCTAATGAAAGAGGTATCCAAAAGTTTTTCTTTAATATATTCCATAAACTAGTAGACCACGTAGGGGATTTTGAAAATATCGTTTTTTTTTCAAAAAATGGTGGTCTACTAGATTATAGAGTATAATTTACATTTACATTTTCTTACGCATGTTCATGTATACATGAATTTTCAACCTGGTATTTAATTTATAAATTTTCAGGCTGGAACTCTAATAAAAATTGTATGTACATATACTTACGTATTTATATAAAATTTGTTAATTAATTATTTCTTCTTTGTTGTATACAATGGGCAATTCTACGTGACATTTTCCAATGACGTAGTTTTTTAATTTTCTATAATTGCCAAAATTTTCGAGTTATGAATTTTCAAAATTTTTGATTTTTTAAAGTAGACCTGCGTTTTTAAGGTCATGTTATTCAGTGGTCACGTGCCCCATATACTTTACTATGGAAAAACTTCACACTGAATAACATGACCTTAATGGCTTATAAGTTTAGAAAAAAGTTGTCAAAGAAAGAAAATTTTGGTCTTTCTTCAACTTTTAAGTAATGTAAAAAAAAAAATTTTTTTTTATTTTTAATTTGAAAAAATTATTTTTTTATAACCAAATTAATTTTTTTTTATTTTTGGGTGTAATTAATTTCTATTTTTTCTTTATTTATATTTATACCTGATAATATACATATAATATTCAACTTTAACGGTTTTCGATGGTCTCTTAAATTTTAAGATTATGTACGGCCTGCAGTTATCGTCTAATACATATCTGTACCAAATTTTAGCACTCCAGGTCAAATAGTTAAAAAATTTTTTTTTTAAATTCTCAAACAGCGAAAAATTCTAACATTATTCGCCATTTTGTTCCATTACAATCGGTTCACTTCTCAAAAATATTATTCCTTATAATGAATATAATAGACACATATTCGAACCCCCTTAAACTGAAAACACTAATAAAAAAATTGTAATTATCTTTTTGTCATGCGTGATAAAGACATAGTTGGACCTCACGGATTTTCTCATCTATGTAAGTTTAATTAAGTTTATAATAAATTAATTTTATTTTCTTTTAAATATTTTTAAAATTGACAATCTTTTTAGCAAACTTATCGGGGAGCAGTTTTTTTTTTATGTTCTAGAGTTTCTTCTTGACATTTCTAATATAAATTTACAGGTATATTAGGATGATTGACTCTAATTTGCAAATTATAACAAATTTTTTTTTTCAGCGTCGAATTCACAACAAAACAAGAACGCCCAGAACTCTGGCAAGTTTTTCTTAAGGTTTCTGAAATTTCTAGGTTATATGTGAATTCTCAAAGTTTTCTCGCAAAGAATCGCAAAATAATTTTCCAAGTCCATAGTTTGAGCAAAAATTTACTTTTAAATGTTATTTTATTGAATTATGAAAAGTTTGACATTATTTTAACAATTCAGAAATTATTATTCTTAGAAGATGAAGAATTTTTATTTATGAATTTATAAATTTTAAATTCAGATAAAATATCTTAATATATCATAAGAAGGCCCTGATCACAACCTGATTTTGCCTTTTTTTAAACTCTACTTCAGGACCTGATCAGAAACTATAATTAATGGGAAAGATGATACTAATATTAAAATTGTAATTATTTTTCTTTAAACATATTTTCTAGCTGGAAGTTCCAAATATTCTAGTCCTTGTAAGTATAATAAATGTTTTTATACATCGCTGATTTGTCTAAGTAATATACAGTACGAAAACCTACCACGTCAGTCATGTCCCATGAGTGGGAGTGAGACAGACTTATGCGATTCCCATACTTTCCTATGACTGACGGATAGCTTTTCTTACTGTATATACTTATTGCTGAAAAGAAGTCTATTATTAAACAACTATAATTAATGATAAAGAGAAAACTAATATAAAAATTATAATTAATTTTTTTAACAAACGTTCTAGCTGGAGCTTCCAGATATGCTCCTCATTGTAAGTTTAATAAAAGTTTTTACAAATCGATGATTTATTGCTCGGCTCATAATATAATGAATATTATATTATAATAATAAATTAATAATTTTTGTATCGTACTGAATTTTATAGATACTGGATTTAGTGGCGGTTCTAGTAAGTTTAATCAAAGTATTTATTAAAATAATAAATCTTGAGGTATAAATTAACGAAAAAGTGTTAATTTAAATATTTAGGTTGTGTATCTACCGATACCAGCATGGCATTTAGTTAATATTTTTTGTAATCTATTATACATATATATAAATATATAGAAAAACTATAAATAAAATTTTTCTTCAGTGTGGCGTTCTGGTGAGGACCCCAGTAAAAATAGTACGTAATTTTATAAATATTAAATAAATATTCCTCTTTATTAAATTATATAATTCAAAGTGTCCTCTATATTAAATCTTTAAGTCAAGCAACTAAATATTTCATAAATTTTATTACAACTTTCACATATTTTTTGTAATTAACAAATTATAAGGGAAGCCTAATATTTTACAACTATAATAAATGCTAATATATTTTTTATAATAAATATATTTTTCTTTTATCAAATGTTGTAGGTGGTTCCAAATATGTCAAAACTTGTAAGTTTAATAAGTTTCTGTAAATCGATGATTTTGTATTTTATAATTTTTTTATCGTAATTGAATTTTATAGATACCGGATTTAATGGCGGTTCTAGTAAGTTTAATTAAAGTATTTATTAAAATAATAAATCTTAAGGTAAATTAAAACGGGAATGTGCTATTTAAATATTTAGTAATATTTTTCCAGTATAATTATAATACCTTCTTATATGTGATACTATAAAAAAAAATTTGTATACCAATTTTAAAATTATAAGTAAAATTTGTTTTCAGTGGAGCAAAAAGAAAAAAAGTACAGTATATTTGGTACGTAATGTTATAAATATTAAATAACTATAAAAAAATAAATAAAAAAAAAATTAAATTATATATTATTATTATTATTATTATTATTATTATTATTATTATTATTATTATTATTATTATTATTATTATTATTATATTATTTTTTTATTAATTAAATTATATTCCAAGACATTGTTTACTTAAAAGATAAAATAAAATTACCAAAAACTAATATAAAAAATTGTAAACAATAATTTTTTTGTTTTGCTTTTCAAAGATCGTCAAGACAACTCAAGAGGTATATCTCAATTAATTCAATTAATAAATTTCTTTTTTATTTTATTATGCGTAATTAAAGTGAATTAACTGGGTAAAATTAATTTTAGGTTCTGATGAGTCTTCCAACTCACGTCCATGGGGATAAGTACGTTTTCCAGAAGCTTTTCGTCGATTTTTCAGTGTAATTGTACATCGAGGAATCGTATTGTAATTCTGAAGAAAAATAAATGCTTCACTTGAAATTTTTGTTTTATTTCTTTTGATTATAAAGTTTTATCTTTAATTGATAAAGTATAGGGTGAGGTGAAAATGATCTCTTTTATTATATGAGAAAATAAAATTCTAAATTATTTAAAAAGTGCAATATATTTGTGTAAAATTTACATAAAAGTATACATAAGTAATTTCAGACAGTAAATATGTCATAATATAGTAAATTAATTATATTATTTATTATATTATATTATATATAATATTATTAATATAATATTATTAATATATTATTATTATATTATATTATATATTATTATATTATTATTACATTATTAATAATGTAATTATATTACATATGATACAAATTTAAAAACTACCGTATGTAGTGTGAAACAGATACAGCAATCAACTTCATAAAATATTAACCGAAATATTTAACAAATTATATTTATATTCAATATTTTCAAGTAAGAAATTACTTTTAAAACACAGAATAAAGATTATGAGCCTTTGTGAAATATCACATAACAACACCAAAAGTGACACTTAAAATCAAAAGATGTACAAATTCTTAGTCCATCGCATTAAAACCTATTGTATAACTTGCGTAGGTTATTTGAATATTTTTGTTGGTTCACTAGATTTTGAAAATCATTAAAATCGTCATCGTTAGAATTTCTTTCTTCACATTTTCCATTCTTGCAAAACTGTAAAATAAAGAAAAAAAGTTATTTTAATTTCTCTCATGTAAGATGTTAAACATTTTTGATATCAAAAATACGTTAAGAGTAAGGTACAAATATTTATAATTATATAACGTATTTTTAAAAAAGAATTACTGAAGCATATTACTGTTATAAAAATCAAATATTTTCTATAGAATTCAATTATTTTACCCTTATTGTATGCGTTGGTTTAACACTTGGAGGAAATGGATTTTTTGAAGAAAATGGCTTTGATGATCCGACTGGTTCATTTTGAATGACCGGCTTTTTCGGAGAGGCGAACATTGTTGAACTTTTCGATGATTTCTTCGGTACTGGTTTTGGATTTTGCTTTTTTGAAACTGTATTAACAATATCTACACACTCTCCTGATAAACAATACTGAAAAATAAAATTTTTAGTCATCAGTTAAGCTAAAGCAATAGAGCCAGAAGAGATTTTTTATTATTACCTTTCCATTGCCACAAGAAGAACCTTCAGCAGGAGGAAAATGCTCTGTTCGACTGTAAATATCTTCTCCTTCTTTTTCATAGACACACCATAAAACTAAACATGTTGTTTTCTACAAAATATAATTAATTATTTAATACTTTTTTGTTTTTTGTTAAAGCCCAAAAGATGTCAGCAAAAAGACATTCTTTGGGTGTATTTTGAACAAGTGTGCGTACTGGGAATAGCTTAAAATTTGGATTTATTAAAAATGTTCACAGAGTATCACTACAGAGCGATACACCATTTGGTTTTATAATACTTAAATTAAAATATTAATAAAAAACTTTTAAATTCTTTTTATAATATTGAAGAAACTTACTGAGCCAGATTCTATGAAGCCACGGTTTCTGCATTGTTCGTTAAAAGACATTAATTGACCAGGCAATATTCTTGGCAGTGGATTATTATTTTTATATTCGGCTGGATTATTTCGAACACATTGTGCAATATTTTGGCTGATGGAAATAATAATACATTATTACTATAAATTACTACGATTGTGAATTTCAGTCGCAGTATAAAAATGTAAAAAGTGTATAAAAAAAATAATAATGTAATGTAATGTAAAAAGCAAAAAAAATTAAAGAAATAACTTATAGCAACTCTACTATTTTGTTTTTAACATACCTTAAGGTAATTTTAATAGCCTCTTTCGAACAAGGAGAGAAGAAAATTTTGTTTTTGGTTTCATGATTATGAGTCATCATATATCCATCCGCTTTTTTACAACCCTTAATTCTATCTGCATTAATATTATCTGATGCTTCTGGCTCATCATGATGTGCACCAAGGCTAAAACAAATTTTTATTTAACTCAATCATCTACTTTAAATTTATCAATTTTAATTGTTAAAATTATTCTTCAAGAGCATGAGATATTCCGCTAAGTAAACATTTTAACACTATTGAACACAAGTACTATTAAATAAAGATTCAGAAGTTTTAGTGGACTTTAAAAGATCTTGTACTATGAGTAAAACCTCATTTGAAAAACATTTGCATCATTAACTGAAAAATTATGTGTTTCTTACATATGTGCTAACTCGTGAGCAGCAGTAATTATTCCATTGTAACCATTTCTATCTTCAGTTAATCCACTAGAGACGTATGCAGGATAATTTTTTCCATTTTTACATACTCCTTCGACATTGGCTAAACCTGTATAATAAATTTCATTCTTATAAATACAACTTTCGTATTATACAATAAATTAAAATACAAAATTATTATCATTTATGTAAAGGTCTAAATCCTACCAACTACGTCAGAACTTCCGGAAGCGCCTATCACATCTCTTCCAGTTACAAGCATGGAAATATCATAATTTTTCTCTTGTTGTATAACTTTTTCTTTTTGTAGAAACTCACTAAATTCATCTAATAATAATTCTGCAGATACCTTTCCTCCGTTAGAAACGCCATTTGCGTCATATATAAATGGCAATGGCTCCTTTTTGAAAAAAATATTTTATAAGTTCAGTTATTCAATAATAGGGCGAGTGATAGAATTTACCATATTGGAAACAGTACATTTTACTGCTTATACAAATTTATTAATAATATTTGTGAATGTCAAAGTATCATACCTCAAGAAATACAATTCCAGCAATATTAAGACGAATCTTTGGTTCTGTAAATTCTCTATATCTTAAATCAACAGCATTCCAAAAACTCAAAGTGTATTCAACTGCACGTATCACATTAAATTCGAATTTTCTACAAAGTACATAAATTATACAATAAGTATAAATAATAAGTTAAACTATTTATTTTGAGTTTAAATTCTTTTAAATTATATTAAATAAGATGTATTCTTTAATTTTGAAGTATGGAAATATTAAATTAAAATTACTTGAAGCAATTTAAACTTACTTGAATAGTAAATCGTCAACAAAAACCAAAATTTCTGGATACACTATGTACGGTAATTCATCAACAGATCTTCGTGACACACTCTTCATGTTTAAAAATCTATCATTGTTCATTGTAGGTGCAGAAAATTCTGAAAAAAATAATTATTTTGTCCTTTTTTGTATGTAACACAGAAAAAATTAAACTAAGAGATGATCAATGGGAGAGACTCTTATAACCAGAATATTTCAAAGTCAATTGAATCTCTTAATCAAATTATTCCTTAATTCGTTACTTGTAATGAAAATACTCACCGGAAGCATTATTGAATGTTTGTTTATAAATTATATGTTCAGTAGTATCAATAAAACCATCGGCTAGACTTTCAAATGATGAAGTATTGCTTTTCAAAAGATCTCGACGTTTACGAAGATGTTCAGGCATTGGACGTATTACCATGTTTTCATTAATAATTCCATTCTTAAAGCATCATAAATTTTAGGTTTTATTAAGAAATATTCAATGTAAGATTTAAAAAATTGATAATAAAAGAATCACGCATTGTTTTATTAAATTTTACTTACAAACTCGGATAGTCCACGTTTATTAATACTGTGTGAAATGGATGACGAAGTTTTCTGATCTTGATAAAAATTTATAAAGACGTTCTGCATGATCTAAAATAATATTGTAATAAGTTTAATTCCAATATTTTTTCATGAAGAAAGAAAGGATTTTTAATTACATTTAGGAAATAGTAATCAATCTGCTTCTAGTGTAGAGAAAATTTAGACGATACGGTAAAGATAGTTTGGTAGGAAAGGAATAGTTCATTCCAAACAGGATTTTATCAAACTTACATTTGGTATAATTTTAAAATCAACATTCCTTTGGGAACCTCTTTTGGCTATGAAAACTTTCGTCCCTGTTCCTGCAAGTAAACCTTCCGTAGGTTGCAAATAAATTTCACGCTCTACACCATTTATTTTGGTATGAAGTGTTAATTCATTGATACTCCGTTTATGAAGCATGTGACGAACAGGCACCACCTCGTAATCCGTTTCTGGAAAATTAAATTTAATCATAAATTCTATGCCTTAATTAATGTAATTTCTAACAGCAACGAATATTTCAGAAGTTCTCATCGAAGTCCAAATCATTTCTTAAAATATTAATAATAATTTTTTAAGGTATTCATAATTTTCGTTTCTTAGGATGTGCCTAGATCCTAGATATTTGGTTACTGCTAGGTTGTTTTTTAAATAACTTAGTAGTGAACCTAAATGAATTCAATTTCTATAAGAAAAAATTAATTATTTAATGTAATTACCATCATCGATTGAGAAATCATCCTCGACTTTGTTAACCACAGTGAATGATTGTGTGAGCGGCACCAAGAAGGTGCAAAATAAAAATGCGAAGTAATACATCTGTAAAGATTTAATTTATTAAACGTTGCTTACAAATTTATTTTAACTTTATGTTTCAATTTTAATTTTATTTTGTTATAATTGGTTGCAAAGTGAAAATAATACTGTACACTTGGAATAGTTTACAATAATTATATGCAGAATATCAAAATTAAAGTAAAATTAAATCTTATTCTTACCTTTCTTCAAAAGATGTGTTGAAGTTCCTATTAACGAAGAATTCAAAAGTAGATGAATTATGAAATACTGTCTGTATTTATATATAAATTTCGATGCGTTTGATTACATGTTATTACTGATAAGAGGTGTATGCGGAAATAAATATTATTTGTTTAATTCTTATTAATATTCAAATTATAGTTTAGTTCCTATAATTGTATTTCCTTAACACTGACGCAAATTTAAGTATTACAATTAAAATATATTGTTGACAAGAAATTATTATTTAAATTTATTGGTGTAGAATATAATATCATTTGTAGAAACAAAAGTTCTATTATATTCTGTACAAATTGTTTGACGCACATAAGATAATAGAGTAAATAGTACCCCAGTAGCACGTAATATTACAGCAATGTTGAGAAAACTGCCTTAACATTACCAATATTGCATCAATGTTGTCTATATTCCTGGAACATTACGTGCTACTAAGGTATATTTTCATACAAATATATTTTGTTCTAGCCATTGTTTAGGAACAGTAAAAAATTTTTTGACTAACAATTGTTAGTAAACAGAAGATCTATCTCTTAAAAAATAATTTTTCATCTTCTGCTGATTATCGGCTGTGGTTACTTTTTATGAATTGCGAATTAAATTAATTTTGACAACCTAGATATTAATTGGAATTGTTCTACCAATAATTTAAAGATCAGTAAACAATTTTTTGACTAACAATTGTTTGTAAACAGAAGATAAAGTTAGCTCAAAAAATAATTTTTCATCTCCTGCTGATTATCGGCCGTGGCTAAATTTATTAATCGTGATTCAAACTCATTTCGATGACCCAGATATTAATTACACAGGCCTACAAAATTTAGAATTTTGTCAGACCCACAAACGGGATAAGTCATTTCCGATGTAATTTGTCACCCTGAATCCAAAACTGGCAGCGAAATTGCTCTATCACGTCAGGATTCTGAGATATTCTAACCTAAAAGAGTAAAAAAGGCCATTTTTGGCAACATTCGACTCTCCATAAAATCTACAAAAAATTTTTTGTATCATTGGAACAAATTTTAAAAGAAAGTACAATTATTCACCTTTCAAAAATGGCGGATCCAATATGGCGGCTGTCAAAATAAAAAATTGATCGGATTCGCTTGAAACTTTTTACTCGGGGCTTTTTGAGGTCGCTAATTACGAATCCGATGTAAGATTTTCGAAATTCAAAATGGCGTATGTAATATGGCGACATATTTTTAAAAAATTTAACGGATTCGCTTGAAACTCTTTACTCGGGTGTTTTTGAGGTCGCTTATTAAAAATCTGGTGTCACATTTTTGAAATTTAAAATTATTGTGGATCTAATATGGTATTATATGTTAGTAAAATCGAAGAACGTAAAATTCGAACATTTAGGGCATAATTTATACACTCTTTTGCTAAAGAAAATTAAAAGTTTTATTTTTCTTTATGAACCTTTACACATTTTTCTACAAAGGATCTTCGTATAGTTGGTTTCGTTTTTAGAATATAATACAGAATCACTCCTTTGCTTATATCTGGACCTGTCAATACATATTTTCTCAATTTAGATATATATAGGTGTGGAAATCTTTTTTTCAAGTACTCAAAAGACTTCGAATTTTACGTTCTTCGATTTTACTAACATATAATACCATATAAGATTCACAATAATTTTAAATTTTGAAAATGTGACACCAGATTCTTAATAAGCGACCTCAAAAACACCCGAGTGAAGAGTTTCAAGCGAATCCGTTAAATTTTTTAAAAATATGTCGCCATATTACATCTGCCATTTTGAATTTCGAAAATCTGACATCGGATTCGTAATTAGTGACCTTAAAAATTCCAGAGTAAAAAGTTTCAAGCGAATCCGATCAATTTTTTATTTTGACATACGCCATATTGGATCCGCCATTTTGAATTTTGAAAATCCGACATCGGTTTTCTAATCAACAATCCTAAAATATTAAGAATCAGATGCTTAACTTAAAGTACTTTCCAATTATTCTTTGCTTCCTTTTTTCAGTTTTTAGGTCGTATAACCTAAGCTTTAAATTGTTGTATCTTAGTAAAAAAAAGTCGGATCGGATCAGATGTAAAATATTTTGAAAGGTAAATAATTGTACTTTCTTTTAGAATTTGTTCCAATGATACAAAAAATTTTTTGTAGATTTTATGGAGAGTCGAATGTTGCCAAAAATGGCCTTTTTTACTCTTTTAGGTTAGAATATCTCAGAATCCTGACGTGATAGAGCAATTTCGCTGCCAGTTTTGGATTCAGGGTGACAAATTACATTCGAAATGACTTATCCCGTTTCTGGGTCTGAAATTTGTAGGCCTGTGTTATAGTATTGTTCTTGCCTTAGTTTAGGAACAGTAAATATTATTTTTTTAATTTAGAAAAATGTCTGGAATTTTGCCTGTTGAAGATTTTTAAGAATATTTTAACTTAAAATTAAAAAATGTTTTTATCTCATTGCTATATAAAAATCTCTAAGGAAGAAAAAATTTTTGTTTGTAATTCTTATTAAGTTTTTGGTATTTGAAAGTTTAAAAAAATGTTTAGAGCTGAAGATGTGTAATTGGGTCAGATATTTTTTTAATTTTTGACTGGAATTTTATAAGTATTGACCTGGAAGATCCTGGAATTTTATATTTATCATTTTGTAGCAACCATGATATAGATTAATGCTACCATCTTGCCTTTATCGGCTGGGTAATATTTGTCTGACCTTCAACAATTGGAAAGGTTTTTATTTTGCCTTCATTAGCTGGGTTGTTGTATTTTTTATGATATATTCAAGTTTAAGGGTTGTGAAGATGTAGTTTTACAAAACAGCGTAAGAAAAAATATAACTGTTGCTTAAAACTATTATTATACTACAAAAATCGTTTAAAATGGAATACATCAATTTTTGCTTGCATTTTTGTTTTTTTATCTTTTCACAATTGGGTTTAAAAAAATGATAGTTTATGAAGAATTCAAAAGTATAGTTTTGTTCTTGAATGATGTGCATACATTTACATTTCATGTGGATGCATTTGGTTATAGTGTATTTTACTGATAAGAGTATTTATAGTTGTATTTATAAAAATTATCTATTTGTAATGATTTTAAAAATGTATTTACTTAAAATTTACATAAATTTACAAATTGATTGTTTGATTGTTGTCAATGCAGTGTTATCTACAGATTGTACTGGTAAAAAATTATATGGGTTATGGAAATAAAATATATCTATTAAATTCAGTACAATTTCTTTATTAATATAAGCGTCAATTAAGTACACACATAATATATAATTGAGTAAATGATGCAAATTAAAAATATACATATTATGTAGTTTGGAGCGCAACGGTAAAAAATTACTTTAAAACAAAATAAAAATTTTAGGGCTTTTAAATGTTAGATAACGACCCCAAAAGTTTAATTTTAAATCAAAAGAATTACAAATTTTTAGTACATCATAATGCAATATTAATACGTATTAAAATTATTTGGAATTTTTTGTAAGTTCACTTCTTTTTCAAAATCATTGAAATCGCTGTCCTTAGAATTTCTTTTTTCACATATTCCATTTTTACAAAACTGTAAAATAAAGAAAAAAGTTATTTTAATTTCTTTCTTGTAACATGTTAAACATTTTTGACATCCAAAACAAATTAAAATAGTAAGGTGTAATTATTATTTACAATTATAACGTAATTATAAAGAAGATTACAGAAGCACATTACTGGTACACAAATAAAATATTTTCAAGAATTCAATATTTTACCTGTAATGAATGATTTATTAGAATCGAATTTGGTGGTATTGATGATCTGACTGGTCCATTTTGAATGACCGGCTTTTTTGGAGAAGCAAAAATTGTTGAACTTTTTGATGGCTTCTTCGGTACTGGTTTAGGATTTTGTATTTTCGAAACTGTATATGGAATATCTACACATTGTCCTGATAAACAATACTGAAAAATAAAATTTTTAGTCATCAGTTAAGTTAAAGCCAGAGCGAGAAGAGATTTTTTATCATTACCTTTCTGTCGCCACAAGACGAACCTTCCGCAGGAGGATATCTACGTGTTAGAGAGCCTCCATAGATATTATCGATACACCACAGTTCTAAACATGTTGTTCGTCTCTACAATATAATTGAAATAAAGAAATTATTTATTTATATACTCGTATATTGTTTAATACCAGCTTATACAAGTAACTTACTCGGTCACATTTTATGAAGCCACTATTTCTGCATTGTTGATCTAAAGTCATTAATTGCCCAGGTAATATTCTTGGCAGTGGATTGTTATTTTTATATTCCGCTGGATTATTTTGAACACACTGTGCAATATTTTGGCTGATGGAAATAATACATTACTATAAATTACTACGATTATGTGAATTTCAGTCGCAGTATAAAAATGAAAGAAGTGGTACTTCATAGTGACAAAAGCGAAAATAATAGAAATTAACTTAGCAGCTTTACTATTATTCTGAAATTATATTCATTGTCTTATTGTTACTAAATTTGGTTTTAACGCACCTTAAAGTATATTTAATAGACTGTTTTGAACAAGGAGAAAAGAAAAATTTGTTTTTGGTTTCCCAATTGTGAGTCATTATATATCCATCTGCTTTACTACAACCCTTAATATAACCTATCCTTTTATCTGATGCTGATTCTGGCTGATCATGAGGTGCGCCAAGACTAAAAAATATTTATTTGAACATAATTAATATACTTCAAATTAAGCAATTATATTTTTAAAAATTATCCCTTTAGAGCATGCGAGATATTCCGCTAAGTTAAAAATTCGAACACTTGAATACAAGTGCTATCAAATAAAATATATGATGTTTTAGTAAAATTTACAATATTCTATGCTAAAAGTAACTATTAGAAAATATTTGAATCAATAATCAAAATATTATGTGTCTCTTACATATGACCTAACTCGTGAGCAACAGTCAATATTCCACTATAACCACTTCCATCTTCAGCTAATCCACAAGAGGCGTATGCATAATTATTTTTACTATTTCTACATACTCCTTCGACATAGGCTAAACCTGTAAAATAATTTATTTCTATAATTTGAACTTTCGTATTGTACACTAAAGTTAGAATATAAATTTATTATCAACTTTGTATGTAAAGGTCTAATCCTACCATCTACGCTAGATTCTCCAGATTCGCTCAACAGATCTCTTCCAGTTACAAACATGGAAATATCATAATTTTTTTCTTGTTGTATAATTTTTTCTTCTTTTAGAAATCTGCTAAATTCTTTTAATAATAATCCTGCAATTATCTTTTCTCCTCTGTAATCGCCTAGTGCGTCATATATAAATGGCAATGGCTCCTATTCTCAAAAAATAAAAATAATCTTTGATAAGTTATTAAAACATTATCACTGTACTTTAAAACTATTATTTTAATGTCGAAACAAAATTCAAGAAATAAAAATTAAATTTTTGGATATGAACATGCAAGTTCTTAATAAAGGAGAAGCAATCAACAGGGACGTTATTCAATGGTAGTGAGTGAGAAAATTTACCATAGTAATATCAGTATATATTTTCCTGCATATACGAATTTATTAATAATGTTTGTGAATGTCAAAGTATCATACCTCAAGAAATACAATTCCAGCAATATTAAGACGAATCTTTGGTTCTGTAAATTCTTTATATCTTAAATCAACAGCATTCCAAAAACTCAAAGTGTATTCAACTGCACGTTTCACATTAAATTCAAATTTCCTGCAATATAAAAAAATTATAAATGCATGCACAATCCTTATAAAAAATGACGTTTTAGGAGGTTCGAAAAAATCATCATATGCTGGCTCAGGGATCGAAATTAAACTATTGATGTTGAGTTTAAATTATATTGAATAATATGAATTCTTTAAGATTGTAGAGTGGAAAATTAATTAAAATTACTTGAAGCAATTTGAACTTACTTGAAAAGAACATCGTCAACAAAAACCAAAATTTCTGGATACACTATGTATGGTAATTCTTCCGTAGATCTTCGTGACACACTCTTCATGTTCAAAAATCTATCATTGTTCATTTTAGGTGCAGAAAATCCTAAAAGATATAATTATTTAGTCCTTTCTCGTATATAACAAAAAAAATTATATGTTTCAAGACCAAAGGCGTTTCTGTGCCCAGAGGGTCGTTACATGTAATGAAAATACTTACCGGAAGCATTATTAAATGTTTGTTTATAAATTATATGTTCAGTTGTATCAATAAAACCATCGGCTACACTTTCAAATGATGAAGTATTGCTTTTCAAAAGATCGCGACGTTGGCGAAAATGTTTAGGCATTGGACGTATTACCGTGTCTTCATTAATAAGTCCATTCTTAAAGCAAAACACATTTTTTATATATATACAAATTAACAAAATATGAAACACTAGTATGATAAAAAATTACTTACAAACTCGGATTGTCCGTCTTCATTAATACTGTGTGAAATGGATGACGAAGTTCTCGGATCTTGATAAAAATTTATAAAAACGTTCTGCATGATCTAAAATAATATTGTAATAAGTTTAATTCCAATATTTTTACAAGAAGAAAGAAAGGATTTTCAATTACATTTAAGAAATAGAAATCAATCTGCTTCTAGTGCAGAGAAAATTTAGACGATACGGTAAAGATAGTTTGGTAGGAAAGGAATAGTTCATTCCAAACAGGATTTTATCAAACTTACATTTGGTATAATTTTAAAATCAACATTCCTTTGGGAACCTCTTTTGGCTATGAAAACTTTCGTCCCTGTTCCTGCAAGTAAACCTTCCGTAGGTTGCAAATAAATTTCACGCTCTTCACCATTTATTTTGGTATGAAGTGTTAATTCATTGTTACTCCGTTTATGCAGCATATGACGAACAGGCACCACCTCGTAATCCGTTACTAGAAAATCAAATTTAATCATAAATATTCTATGCCTCAATTAATGACATTTCTAACAGCAACGAATATTTCAGAATTTCTCATCGATGTCCAAATCATTTCCTAAAATATTAATAACAATATTTGGTATGGTATTCGTAATTCTCGGATACCATTAGGACGTGTTAGGGATATGCTGAATATTCGGTTACTGCTAGGTTGTTTTTTAAATAACTAAGTAGTTAAACTAAATGAAACCAATTTCTATAATAAAAAATTAATTATTTAATGTAATTACCATCATCGATTGAGAAATCATCCTCGACTTTGTTAACCACAGTGAATGATTGTGTGAACGGCACCAAAAAGGTGCAAAATAAGAAAGCGAAGTAATACATCTGTGAAGGTTTGATTTATTAAACGTTGCTTACAAATTTGTTTTAACTTAATTCTTTAATTTAAATTTCATTTTGTTATAATTAGTTTGTTATAACAGGGTACACTTTCTAGTTTACAATTATATGCAGAGTATCAAAATTAAAGTAAAATTAAATCTTATTCTTACCTTTCTTCAAAAGACGTGTTGAAGTTCCTATTAATGAAGAATTCAAAAGTAGATGAACTCTGAAATATTGTCTGTATTTATACATACATATCTATGCATTTGGTTACATGTTATTGCTGATAAGAGTGTATACGGATATAAATAATATTTGTTTAATTCATATTAATATTCAAACTATACATTGTTTCTATAATTGTATTTCCTTAACACTGACGCAAATTTAAGTATTACAATTAAAATATATTGTTGACAAGAAATTATTATGTATACATTATGTTAGTGTGGAATATAATATCATTTGAAGAAATTAAGTTCTATAATTATATTTTGTATACATTGTTTGACGCACATAAGATAGAAGAGTAAATAGTATATTTTCATAAAAATATATATACAACGTATTTTCAATAATTTATTCTTAATTTTAATCTCGATTTTAATAGAAAGTTATAATTATTAGTTAAAAATTTAGATATGGTGGGTTGTTCTGGTTTCCTGATTCCATATAGCAAAAGTTGCAATCTTCAGTTGTTGGGGAAAAAATTACTAAAGAAATTACCTCTTTTTTGACATTTGCAATATTAGCGTGTCGTTGATTTCTGATATTATTTAGTGCAATAAGGAAGTTGATTTTTCCTCTTAATATGATATTACTTTTTTAGGGTGTAATAAAAGTCTTATTCAAATTTAAAAAATCTATTATATCTAAGTCTTTTAAAAGTTTATTCTTAATTAAGAATATGTTTGTTTCGAAATCTCATGTTGAAATATTAATTTTTTATTTATAATTATAATAGTAATAAATTTATAATTAATTATCAATTCTAATGGTTTAGTTTCAAATTTATTTACTCCAACGTTTTGAAATTTAGATTTTTTAGATTTATTTGAATTTAGATTTGGAAACGTTAGAGTAAATAAATATTTTATTCATTGTCCGAATGTTTTCGTTTAATTTGCCTTATAATTAATAATAAATAGCTAATATTGACAATAAATTTCATGTTTATTTAAACAAATTAGTTGTAAGGGTAAACTCTGAGAAGAGATACCAGGATGCGTTCCCCTTGCGGAAACTTCCTGCTATCTTAGAGAACGTATGCTCTTGGATATCATAGATCCCGTACCAGTAGGAAGCAGAAAGGTGACGGTCCTTGGACCACACCAGCTAAGAAAACGCTGACAACCTGAAGAAAGTTGGACACGTTAAGATTGGTTTCGTGCCCTGCAAGGTTAGAAGAAGAGTTATGGTCACATGGTGCCATATAATCTTCTTACATTTTTAAGAAACATTCATATTTTCTACTTTATTTAGACTTCGACGAAAACAATCTAAATCATTATCATTTATCTTGTTTTTCGAATAAACGTCAGGTATTACTGTTAAAAATCAGACCTCATCAGAATAAGTTGTATGTACAATTTTTAATTGACAAACTTAACATTTTATTCAATGCTTGGCTATCATTCTTAGCCGTTAAATATTTTTTATTATTTTCCAAGAAGTGGGACCCCAATAAATTTTTATGAAAAATTATCATTTTACAATCAGAAACTAGTAAAAAATTGAAAAAAAAACGCTGGGGTTTTTTGAGAAAATTCGATTTTAATTTTTTAAAGAAAAATCGCCGTCATTTTTGATAAATTTTAACATTCTTTTAATTTAACATGAGGGTTTAAAAGAGCATATTAAACCTTGATTAAAGACAAAAAGAATTATTTTATTATAGGTGAAAGAAAAAAGATTTAAAAATATTTTTACGTCATTTTGTTCATGTATATGGTGAGGTTATAATAAATATTTCATTTTTAGTTTTTCATATTTCATATATATTGTAAAGATATAAAAAAAATTGGAACATTTTGCTCTTAATAATACCTTACAGAATTTACTTTACAATTGTAGAAAAAAAATTGTCGAAGCCAAAATTTAGAATAAAAGGCTTTTAAAAAATATCACACAATCGTCAAAACAATTAATATCGAGTCAAAAAAATTCGCAAGAAACACATCATAATACATTAGTGTTTAAAGAAGGAATTGCGTTGCTTCAACTGATTTTGAAAGTCTTTAAAACCTGCATCGTTAGAATCTCTTTCTTCACATTTTCCATTGCGGCAAATCTGGAAAAATAAAATAGCCTTTCTTAATTTGTATATCTTAGCAGAAATTCGACTATTATCCTTACCAAGAAAACGTTCAGTCTAATATACAATTATTTAGAGACTTTAAGTACTTTTTTTAGAAAAATAAAGATGTATTTTACTTTTATGAAAGTCAAAAAAATCTGTACGACTTAATAATATATTACCTTTATTGTATGCTTTTTATCAACATTTGAAGTAAAAGAAGTTCTTGTAACTGGCGTTGGTGATCGCTTATGGATCATGCGGCCAACTGGCATCACCTCGTAATCAGGAACTGGAAAAAATAATTAGAAGACATAAATTCACTGCTAATTAATGATATTTCTAATTAAGTTAGTAGTAAACAGCATAATTAATTAATATTATATGAAAATTATTTTTTTAAAATATCTACCATTATTGATTAAGTTATCATCTTCCGGATTATTAACTACCGTACTTGATTGCGCGAAATGCACCAAAAGAGTGCAAAGCAAGAATACGAAGTAATGCATCTGTAAATTTCCAATTATTAATTAGTAATACAACTTAAAACTACAAATTTCATTTTTATTAATTTTATATTTTACTGTCTACACTGGATAAACATAAAAAGTAATTTTAAGTTAGTTTTTACATTAAATTTCAGTCATTTTAACTTTTCTTTAATGTTCAATTTTTCATTTTTAATGCAGTACCGACTTTACTTGGGAAAAATGCTGTTTGCCATTCAATTTTAACTTTAACTTATAGTTGTTTTTAAGGTTTATTTTGTTAAAATAAAACAAGCAATTAAAGTAAAATATGAAGTAAAGATGTTCGATTCAAATTCAAATTAAAAAATACAGTTAAAATAAAAATTTTTATTTTTTATTATAAGCAGGATATAGTAAAATTTAATATTTATCTTACCTTTTTTTGAAAAGCAGAGTTGAAATTGAGTAATAGTGAAGAACTGGAAAGTAGATGGGTTCCCAAATGTTTCGACTGTATATATACCCGTATAGTTGCATTTGATTCTAATTTTACACTGATAAGAATATATGAGGAAGTAAAAAAAATTTGTTGAATTAACGCATTAATATTCAACCTTATGTTTATATTCTGAACAAGAAATTATCTATTTTAACAGATTTTAGAAATATTTTTCCGTAAAACGTACATAAAATTATATGTATATATTATAAGTTGAATGAATTGTTTTCAAAAAATTGTATGTATACCTCTTAGTAGTGAATATAATGATATGAAATAAGGAAATACAAATATTATATTTGGTACACATTGATCATCATTAATATGCGTCAATTTATTTAAGCACATAAACTACAAAATGAAGGCGTAACAAAATTTTCTCTAAGGTCAGGATTTCCCAATCGAATTATTTTGAAAAAAAAAATTTCCCACCGAAAATTATTAAATTGTTCTTACTCATAAGCGGTAAAAAAGGGCTTGAAATTTCAGGGCCAAAAAAAATTGTTTTGTTAATGTTATTAACAATTTAATTTTTCTGTAGAGTTTTTAAATATTTCAGAATCTTAACGAAGCCAAATTTCTGGTAAAACATATTAGCAAAAATGATTTATAAAAAATCGAATATACTTTATGAAAAGTCGAATCTAATTCATCGTCTAAATTTAAAATCATGGCATCCTGTCAATAAATTATTTATAAAAACTTACTTGTAAGTAACGTATCATATTCACTTGAAATCTTGGTTTTAAGATATTTGAAAGATATTGAGAAAATTCAAATTTTATTTCTGCTAATGAATACCCCAGGATATGCAGTGAGATTAGAAACAGGAGTTCCAAATTTAGCTGTAACAGTCTTTAAAAAATTGAATAAAAAATTGTTAATGGAAAATTCTAGATACCCCAAATTGAGTTTTATATATGCTTAAAATATTTAGCAGATATTAATAAATTACAAGCAAAGAAAAACTTTTTCAGAGATAAGTATGAAAACTATATATATGTGGAAGATTTGAAAAGATTGTATGAGTCCAAACCACTAATACAGATTCTACCGCAACTAATAAGATACAACATATCCTCAAAAATATTTTCAGCTCAATCTTTACCTTGAGAAAATAAGAGTTTTAGCTCAACTTAGAGCTTTAGAAAATTTTTAAATTATTTTTACTATTAATAAGAAAAAATTTAAACTAAAAGCTAATGGAACCTGTGGTGTATGCATGTGAAACTGAACAGTAATGAACTTTGTTATCATACCTTAAGGGGTAAGGTATCGAAAGAAATTTATTATAAAATTCACTTAAAAATATTGTGCCAAAATTATGTCGTAGGTATGCATTATTAAATACAATCAGTGAATTTTCAAATTAATATTTGCTCATATTTTCATCAGAAATAACTTCATGAAAAAAACAAAGAAATAAAATAATAACGAAAAAATTGTGTTAGGTTTGAACAAGTGTTTAAAATTTTAAATAATAAAAATATCGTTTTTGATTTTGTTAAATTTAAATTAAACATTTTTTAACTTAACTTGTGGCGGTTTAAAAGAGCATAATACAAGTCATGATTGAGAACAAGAAGAATTATTTTATTATAGGTGAAAGGAAAAAAGATACAATTCAAAAATATTTTCACTTTATTTTCTGTCAATCGCACTTCGTTGATGTATATGCTGAGGTCATAGTAAATATTTCATTTTTAGTGTTTTGTATTAAAATTTCATATATTGCAAAGACATGAACAGAATTAAAACATTTTGCTTTTCATAATACATTACAGAATTTACTCTACAATTGTAGAAAAAAAATTGTCGAAGCCAAAATTTAGAATAAAAGGCTTTTAAAAAATATCACACAATCGTCAAAACAATTAATATCGAGTCAAAAAAAATTCGCAAGAAACACATCATAATACATTAGTGTTTAAAGAAGGAATTGCGTTGCTTCAACTGATTTTGAAAGTCTTTAAAACCTGCATCGTTAGAATCTCTTTCTTCACATTTTCCATTGCGGCAAATCTGGAAAAATAAAATAGCCTTTCTTAATTTTTATATCTTAGCAGAAATTCGACTATTATCCTTACCAAGAAAACGTTATATTTTACTTTTATGCAAGTGAAAAAAATTTCTATGACTTAATAATATATCACCTTTATTGTATGTTTTTTATCAACATTTGAAGTAAAAGAAGTTCTTGTAACTGGCGTTGGTGATCGCTTATGGATCATGTGACCAACTGGCATCACCTCGTAATCAGGAACTGGAAAAAATAATTAGAAAACATAAATTCACTGCTAATTAATGATATTTCTAATTAAGTTAGTAGTAAACAGCATAACAAATTTTTATTATATAAAAATTATTTATTTAAAATATTTACCATTATTGATTGAAATATCATCCTCGACATTATTAACTACCGTACTTGATTGCGTGAAATGCACCAAAAGAGTGCAAAGCAAAAATACAAAGTAATGCATCTGTAAATGTGCAATTTTTAATTAATAATACACAGAAGTAATTTTCTACATCAATTTTCAGACGTTTTAATTTTTTTTAATAATTAAATTTACATTTTTAATGTTGTACTGACTGTACTTGGGAAAGCTGTTTGCAAATCAATTTTAACTTTCTCTTATAGTTTTATTTTAATGTTCATTTTGTTATAATAAAACTCCCAATTATAAAATAAAATGTGACATAAAAATGTTGGATTCAAATTCAAATTATAGAATACAGTTAAAATAAAATTTTTTTAAATTTTTTATTATATGCAGGATATAGTAAAATTTAAGTAAAATTTAATATTCATCTTACCTTGTTTGAAAAGCAGAGTTGAAATCGCGTAATAGTGAAGAACTGGAAAAAAGATAGGTTCCCAAATGTTACGACTGTATATATACCCGTATAATTGCATTAGGTTCTAACTTTACACTGATAAGAATATATGAGGAAGTAAAAGATATTTGTTGAATTAACATTAATATTCATCCTTATGTTTATATTCTGAACAAGAAATTATCTATTTTTATAGATTTTAGAAATATTTTTTTCCGTAAAACGTACATAAATTATATGTACATATATTATAAGTTGAATGAATTGTTTTCAAAAAATTGTATGTGTACCTCTTAGTAGTGAATATGTATAATGATATGAAATAAGGAAATACAAATATTATATTTTATACACATTGATTAATATGCGTCAAATTATTGACGCACATAAACTACTAAAAGTATAGTAACTTTTCTCTACGGTCAGGATTTCTCAAATGGATCATCTAAAAATTGTTTTTTTACACTGAATCGGGGGTTTCTGGGTCGCTGATTAAGGACCTGAAGTCGGTTTTTCTAAATTCAAAATGGCGTTTTCAATACGTCGGACGAATAAAATCAAAAATCAATTAAATATTTGAATTTGCTTCAAAATTGTCACTTACAACTTTTCTGAAAAACTGACTTCAGATTTATAAAATCAGCGACTTCAAAAAGCCCCAAGTGACAACTTTCATGCTTTATTTAATTTTTCATTTCTTCGTCTCTGCTTTTTAAAAAGGGTAAGATGAATATTTAATAAAAGTTAGGGAAAGAGTTAAGCTTCATTTTGGTACCAACCGGAAGTTAATATCTTGCATACATGGAAAGTTATGGTCAATTGAATTTAAAGGTAGATAACATGTTGAATATATCCAATTCCTAAAAACATAAAAAACGTTCTCAAATTTTTATCCTAGCCTATACTCGTAAGACATAAGTTAGGGAGAGAGTCAAGCTTCATTTTGGTATCAACCGGAACTTGATATTTTGCATACAAGAAAACTTATGGTTAAATGAATTAATAACTATTAATATCAATGATTGTAAATATTTAATATAAATAATTTTTGTATAGTAAAAATTATTTGTGTTTTTACTACTAACTTAGTTAGAAATAACATTAATTTCAGCAGTAAATTTACGTTTTCTAATCTTATTTTCCAGTGCATGATTATGAGGTGATGCCAGAGTTGCCCCTATGATCCATAAGCGATCACCAACTCCAAATTAATATTGGTGACATGGGTTCAATAAAGGTATACTAGTATACCTTTATTGAACCCATGTTAATAGCTATTAACAATTTTTTTTGACTTGCATAAAAGTAAAACATACTCATACAGCATCGAAACTTTCTTCAAAATTTATTTGCAACCTTTTGACTATTTACTTTTGTCTGATATAAAAATGAAAAAAGTCAAATTTTTTTCTTTTCCCAGATTTGCAGAAAAGGGAAATGTGAAGAAAGAAGAACTAACAACGCAGGTGCTAAAGACTTTCAAGTTTACAGGAAAGATGACAATTTCTACTTTAAACCCAAGTGAAAATTTAAGTCTCACTTAACATCTACAAAGTAGGAGTTAGATCCATTGAATATAGAACCTAAATAAAAAATTTATTTGTGCCAAATAATATATATTTATTTATCTTCAATCTTAAAAAGGTACATCATTTCCAGCATATATAGCCGAGGTATCTTGAAACTAATAATTAATAATTTTAAAGCATTGCATTTATAATGCGTCGTTGATGTTAAAAATTCTGACTGCGGAGTCTTCTGCAGACTCAGTTTCTGAAAGTTTTAAGTGTTAAAATGATCCCTGGGAATAGTTGTTGAAGTATATATACTGGTAAATATAATTCAGTTCGATTAGTATCAGTTAAAACCAGCAAAGATGTATATTGTAGACCTATATTTGATTTGTTTTTAGTGAACATTATTGTTCAGATTGTTAATAGTTCTTACCATTATTATATGAAAAAATAAAATTCTAAATTATTGAAAAAGTGCAATATATTTGTGTAAAATTTACATAAAAGTATACATACATAATTTTCTACAGTAAATGTCATAATAATAATAATTATATTACAAATGATACACATTAAAGATATACATGTGTATAGTGAGAAACGGAAGCAGCAATAAATGACTTCATAAAACATTAAACCAAATATTTAATAAATTATATTTACATTAAATTCTATATTTTCTAATAAGAAATTACTTTAAGCCGCATAATAAAGATTATGAGACTTGGTAAAATATCACATATCGACCCCAAAAGATTCATTTTAAATCAAAAGAATTACGATAATACCCTCATTGTATGCGTTGGTTTAACACTTGGAGAAAATACACTTAAAGAAAGTCTTGAAAGAAAATGGCTTTGATGATCCGACTGGTTCCTTTTGAATGGCCGGCTTTTTCGGAACGGCGAAAATGGTTGAACTTTTTGGCTTCTTTGGAATTGGATTAGGATTTTGCTTCTTTGAAACTGTACTAACAATATCTACACACTCTCCTGATAAACAATACTGAAAAATAAAATTTGCAGTCATCTGTTAATAAAATAGAATTTTAGGTAAAATTATATAGATTACAGTTAAATATTACTAAAATTATTTTAAGAGCATTACACTGTAATAAATCTCTAGTTAGAAATAATAAATAGTATTTTTAAAACTAAACCACAGGAGATTTCTTATTATTACCTTTCCATCGTCACAAAAAGAACCTTCCGCAGGAGAAGAGTAATGTGTATTAAAGTAAGTAAAGCCATCCCTTTTCTCAGTGACACACCATAGATCTAAGCATGTTGTAGTATTCTACAATATAATTGTAATAAAAAAATTATTTATTTATAAAATCGTCTATCGTTTAATATTAACTTATGCATATATGTCACTATAGAAGTTCTCTTACAAATAATATTTAAAAATTTGAACTTGTTAAATATTAAATCGTCAAGTTTGTACTTGGTGACTGTATTGGAGAAACTTACGCGGTAACATTCTATGAAGCCAAGATTTCTGCATTGTTGATCTAAAGTCATTAATTGCCCAGGTAATATTCTTGGCAGTGGATTGTTATTTTTATATTCCGCTGGATTATTTTGAACGCACTTTGCATTATTTTCGCTGAAGATAAAAAACATTTCATTAATATAAAGCACTACAAATGTGAATTTCAGTAGTAATATAAACAAAAAGGAACTTCCTTAGAAGTGACAGGAGCAAAATAAAATTATAGAAATTAAATTAGCAACTTTACTATTAGTATCTGAAATTTTCATTAAATTATTTACCAAATTTTGTTTTAACGCACCTTAAAGTATTTTTAATAGCCTCTTTTGAACAAGGTGAAAAGAAAATTTTGTTTTTCGTTTTCTGATTGTGAGTCATCATATATCCATCCGCTTTTGTACATCCCTTAATACTATCTACATTAATATCATCTGATGCTTCTGGCTCATCATGATATGCACCAAGGCTAAAAGAAATTTTTACTTAACTCAATTATCTACCTTAAATTAATCAATTACATTTTTTAAAATTATTCTTTAAGAGCATGATATATTCGGCTAAGTAAACATTTTAACACTTGAACACAAGTCCTATTAAATAAATATTTAGAAGTTATAGTGGACTTTAGAAGATCTCGTACTATGAGGAAATCCTCATTTGGAAAACATTTGCAATAATTGACTGAAAAATTATGTGTTTCTTACATATGACCTAACTCGTGAGCAGCAGTCATTATTCCTTTGTAACCATTATTATCTTCAATTAATCCACTAGAGATGTATTGATCATAATTTTTACTATTTCTACACACTCCTTTGAGTTGTATAACTTTTTCATTATGTAGAAACTTGCTAAATTCTTTTAATAAGAAAAATACATGTACTGTTTCTCCTCTGGTATCGCCTAGTGCGTCATATATAAATGGCAATGGCTCCTTTTTGAAAAAAAATATTTTATAAGTTCAATGATTCAATGATAGTAAGTGATAGAGTTTAACCATATAGGAAACAGTATATTTTCCTGCTTATACGAATTTATTAATAATGTTTGTGAATGTCAAAGTATCATACCTCAAGAAATACAATTCCAGCAATATTAAGACGAATCTTTGGTTCTGTAAATTCTCTATATCTTAAATCAACAGCATTCCAAAAACTCAAAGTGTATTCAACTGCACGTATCACATTAAATTCGAATTTCCTACAAAGTACATAAATTATACAATAAGTAATATTAATTTAATTCAATGAAAATTAATTTTAAGTCAGATAAGTATGGAAAATAAATTAAAATTACTTAAAGCAATTTGAACTTACTTAAAAACGACATCGTCAACAAAAACCAAAATTTCTGGATACACAATGTACGGTAATTCTTTGGCAGACCTTCGTGACACACTCTTCATGTTCAAAATTCTTTCATTGCTCATTTTAGGTGCAGAAAATTCTAAAAAACAATTATTTTGTCCTTTCTTGTATGTGACACAAAAAATTTAAATTAAGAGTTAATAAATGGGAGAGACACTCATAAACAGGAAATTTCAGTCAGTTGATCACTCTTAATTCGTTACTTGTATTAAGAATACTTACCGGAAACATTTTTGAATGTTTGTTTATAAATTATATGTTCAGTAGTATCAATAAAACCATCGGCTAGACTTTCAAATGATGAAGTATTGCTCTTCAAAAGATCTCGACGTTTACGAAGATGTTCAGGCATTGGACGTATTACCATGTTTTCATTAATAATTCCATTCTTAAAGCATCATAAATTTTAGGTTTTATTAAGAAATATTTAATGTAAGATTTAAAAAATTGATAATAAAAGAATCACGCATTTGTTTTATTAAATTTTACTTACAAACTCGGATAGTCCACGTTTATTAATACTGTGTGAAATGGATGACAAAGTTATCGAATCTTGATAAAAATTTATGAAGACGTTCTGCATGACCTAAAATAATATTGTAATAAGTTTAATTCCAATATTTTTTCATGAAGAAAGAAAGGATTTTCAATTACATTTAGGAAATAGAAATCAATCTGCTTCTAGTGCAGAGGAAATTTAGACGATACGGTGAAGGTAGTTTGGTAGGAAAGGAATAGTTCATTACAAACAGGATTTTATCATACTTACATTTGGTATAGGTTTAAAATCGACATTCCTTTGGGAACCTCTTTTGGCTATGAAAACTTTCGTCCCTGTTCCTGCAAGTAAACCTTCCGTAGGTTGCAAATAAATTTCACGCTCTTCACCATTTATTTTGGTATGAAGTGTTAATTCATTGATGCTCCGCTTATGGAGCATGTGACGAACAGGTACTACCTCGTAATCAGTTACTAGAAAATCAAATTTAATCAGAACTTCTATGTCTAAATTAATGTTATTTCTACAATTAATATTTATTTAAAATAATTACCATCATCGATTGAGAAATCATCCTCGATTTTGTTAACCACAGTGAATGATTGTGTGAACGGCACCCAAAAGGTGCAAAATAGGAAAGCGAAGTAATACATCTGTGAAGGTTTGATTTATTAAACGTTGCTTACAAATTTATTTTAACTTTATGTTTCAATTTAAATTTTATTTTGTTATAATTAGTTTGTTATAATAGTCTACACTTGGTAGTTTACAATTATATGCAGAGTATCAAAATTAAAGTAAAATTAAATCTTATTCTTACCTTTCTTCAAGAGACGTGTTGAAGTTCCTATTAATGAAGAATTCAAAAGTAGATGAACTGTGAAATATTGTCTGTATTTATACATACATATCATTGGGCTTAGTTACATTTTATTACTGATAAGAGTGTATGCGGAAATAAGTAATATTTGTTAAATTAATATTCAAATTATAGTTTAGTTCCTATAATTGTATTTCCTTACCACTGACACAAATTTAAATTTCTAGTGTTTTTCTTTTTTTGTTGCTTTTTAATATACTGTTTGCAGGAAATTATTATGTGTATTTCAATAATATGTAGAGTAAATAAAAAAAAGTTCTATTATATTGTGTACACATTGTTTGACTCACATAAGATAGTATAGTAAATAGCATTATATATACCCTACAGAAAAGTTTTTGAAAAATCTACTAGGGTTAAAACTTTTAAAATTTACTGTTTGGAGATAGTGGATAGAAACCCAGGGTTCTGTTTGCTTCACGAACTATAGTATCAATATCTGTATGAAATTTTAGTAAAGGTGTAAAATGCACTCCCAAATCTTTCATAAGATAATCTTTTTCTAAAAGAATTCTAGAAAGAATTCTGAAAGAATTAAGCAGAACGTATTTTTTGAAACAGAACCATTGTTTTAGAGCAGTTATTATCTGATAATTCTAAAGCCGAGAATTTTTCTTGTTCTAAAATTTTTGTGTGAACTCAAGTGTATTTATTAGCTGGATAGCAAGAAACATGATAGCCAATGAATTCAGCAAATGCACAAATGGTACATTCTTTTTCATATAAAAAACTTTTTCTCAAATTTAAAACCTTTTTATTTCATAAAATATTTCAATAAATATTAAATAACACAAACATTTTTAATATCATTCCAGCGTACATTCTGGACCCAAATTCTAAAGTAGGTTCCAGTGTTAAATCCAGCACTGGAACCGACGCAGGTTTCACCATTGTATCCAGCGTTTGAATTGACTTTTGATACGATGGTACCAGCGCTGAATCTTTTGATAGAGTGTAGATTGTACATTCTTCGGATGTTGTACAAAGACAGAAGTCACTGTGGTAGTTGGTACTCTGGGAATGAATGGATTTTTTGGAGCGGCAGGCCTTTTTGTTACTGGTTGATAATTCGAGGTACCTGAATAGCTTTGAACAATATCTACACATTCTCCTGATAAGCAAAACTGAAAAATAACATTGTATTTCATCAGTTAATAAATGTATAAACTTGATACTTTTAAAAATAACGGTACACAGATTTACAAATTATTGATAAATGGATTACCAAAAAAATTAAGCTATTATAAACACAATTTTTTGTTACCTTCCCTTCACCACAGGAAGATCCTTCTGCTGGTGGGTCTCTGGATGATATGGAGATATTTGATTTTTGCCAAACGATACACCACAGGTCTAAACATGTTGTAGTCTCCTATAAGGCAATAGAAATAGTTACATTGAACTACATGTATATCAAAAAAGTATTATGTTTTATCTTTATGGCAATATCGGAAAAACTTACATGATCGCATCTTATGTAACCAAGATTTTTGCATTGTTGATCAAAAGACATTAATTGACCAGGTAATATTCTCGGTAATGGTATGTTGTTTTCATATTCTGCAGGATTATTTTGTACGCACTTTGCATAGTCTTGGCTGTCGTAAAAAAAATTTATTGTTTTATGGATCTAATTAGCAGTAGAAAAAGTAAAGCAGTGTTACTTCAGAAGACAAATTTAAATATCGTTGTAATAGACTTTTATTAGTTTTTTTTAAATTATATCCCCTAAATTATTTACAAAATTTTAATTCGACGTACCTTAAAGTATCTCTAATAACCTGTTTTGAACAAGGGGAGAATAAAATCTTGTTCTTCGTTTTACGATTATAACTCATAATATAACCTTCCTCGTGACGACAATGCTTAGTATTATATGTGCTACCTCCGGATGTAAATTCCTCTTCATCATGAGGTGCACCAAGGCTAAAAAAAAATTGTTTGCTCAAATTAATTACTTGCTATTTGTTATAACGGGAAATTGAAATAATGACATTTAACATTTATTAACATAACAATTAGTGATTCTTACATATGACCTAATTCGTGAGCAACAGTATTTATCCCTCCATAACCATTCTGATCTTCAGCCACTCCGCAAGAACCGTATGGATGATCATTCTCTTTATTTCTACATACCCCACCAACCATCGAATAACCTTTTAATCAAAAATTTGTATTTTTAAAATTTAAACTTTTGTATTGTATCCTAACTGAAATTATTATTTTTTTAATATACTTTTCATGTGAATAACTTTTAATGCTTACCATCTACTGAAGAATCTCCAGTTCTATCATTCAACATATCTCTTCCAGTTACTAACATTGCTATATCATAATTCTTTTCACGTTGAATAAATTTATCTTTACGTAAAAACTCGCTAAATTGTTCAATTAACAATTCTGTATATATCTGGACACCTCCAAGATTGTCAATTCCGATACTTATAAATGGCAATGGTTCCTTTACAAGAATAAAAACTGTTTTAGAAATTATTATAATTTTTACATTTTTTCCAGAAATAAAAAGAGTTTTTAATATTGAAAAAAATTTCACTAAAAAATTAACTAACTTACGAGTCAAATGTAAAGACGTTTTCTTTTCTATTTAAATCAGAGATTTGACAAAATTTATATTTTTGATTTATATCTAAAATACATGTATACCTTAATTAATACTATTCCAGCAATATTAAGGCGAATTTTTGGTTCTTTAAATTCTCTATATCTTAAATCAACTCCATTCCAAAAACTCAAGGTATATTCTACTGCACGTTTCACATTATAATGAAATTTCCTGTAATATAAAGAAATTAAAAATTCTAAGTTTACGTGTCCAAATCGGCAGGTGTAATTTAAATTACATTCTTTTAAAATCCTAAACTATATTGTTTGGCGATGTGTAACATATTAAAATGACTTTAACAATTTAAGCTGCTCACTTGAAAAGTATGTCGTCAACGAAAACCATAATTTCTGGATACACTATTTCCGGTAACTCTTTAGCTGATCTTCGAGATACGTTCTTAATATTTGAAGCTTCATCATTGTACATTTTAGGCGCAGACAATTCTAAAAAGAAATTATTTTGTCATTCTTCGTATAATTAAAGATGAAGTGGATTCACTTTTTAGTTTTTATCTATTATCTGTAACGAAAATACTCACGGGATGCATTTTTGAAAACTTGTTTAAAAATTATATGTTCAGTAGTTTCAATAAAACCATCGGCTACACTTTCAAATGATGAAGTATTGCTTTTCAAAAGATCACGGCGTTGACGTAAATACTTTGGCAGTGGACGTATTACCATGTCTTCATTAATAAGTCCATTCTTAAAAGAGAAAATTTATTTTTTTAAAGTAAATTAATGAAAGGATGATTAAAAGAATATTAAACATTAAGTAAAGTAAAAAATTACTTACAAATTCAGAATTACCGTATTTATTAACACTGTGAGTTATAGATGAAGAACTTTTTGGATCTTGATAAAGATTTAAAAAGATGTTGTCCATAATCTAAAATAATATTGTATTTTAAAGGTATACATTTATACGTATAAAACTTGAAGTATTTAGTAGGTCTAGTTTGCATAGCTTTGTATATAATACGTACATTCGGTTCTAGTTTAAAATCCACTTCGCTTTGGTTACCTCTTGTGGCTGTGAAAATCTTTGTCCCAGTTCCTGCAAGTAAACCTTCCGTAGGTTGCAAATAAAGTTCACGCTCTTCACCATTTATTTTAGTATGAAGTGTTAATTCATTGATACTCCGTTTATGGAGCATGTGACGAACAGGCACCACCTCGTAATCAGTTACTAGAATATCAAATTTAAAAATATAAATTCAAAGCTGACATTAATTTTTTTAATAATTTAGAAGTAAATCAATTGATACCTGTTCTAAAAAAATTGTACATTTAAAATAATTACCATCGTCGATTGAAAAATCATCCTCGATGTTATTGACTACCGAATATGATTGCGTGAACGGCACCAATAGAGTGCAAAGTAAGAATACGTAGTAATACATCTACAATCGAATAATTTTTTATTAATTAATGAAATATTTCTTATTATTTACATTATTTTATTTAGAGAAAATCTTTTATTATTTTTCTTACCTTATTTCAAAAACCGTGTTTGGATTTACCATTAGCAAAGACTATAAAGGTATATCGATGTTTGACAGAATTCTTTGTATTTATACTCATAAAAATGTTTTTACATTTATATACTCTGATAAGAGTACACACGTAATTGAATATTTGTTACACTTTTGTCAATATTACGTTGAATATTAAATTTACATAAAAATAAAAAATTTTACATGTGATAAATTACATATTATAATATACTATAGTCAAATTTTTCAGAAATTTAAGATTCAACTTAAATCCTTAACTGAAATTCAATTATTTCAAATAATTGTAAACAAAATTCTTGTAAAATTCAATTATTTTTTAAATTCTTAAGTAAAATTATACATTAAATATTAATTAACAAGAAATATTTTTTTTATAGTTCTTCAAGAATTGAATTATTTAAAATAAATTGTTGTCAAAAATAGAAAAAATTTAAGGTTTTTTTATTCAAATTCTTGGTAATTTTTTTATTAACTAAATTACTTATTTACGTATACTTTAACTTTGGATACTTCTCGTATCCTTACTCCATTTGAGTAAATAGAACATGTACTTAATTTAAAAATTGAGTACTCAGAAGCATTTTTGGCAGTTTCTGGTATTCCACAAGGCTCGTATCTTGGACCGCTCTTGTTCTTTATATGAATGACATTAAAATTATTTTCAAAAATTCTCATTTTTTACTTTACGCTGACGATCTTAAACTTTATAATGTTGTTGGTTGAAGTCCACAAAATATTCAAGCTGATTTTGACCTAGTGATTCAATGGTGTGACAGTAATCAAATATCTATAAATGTAAAAAAAGTTACGTCATTTCATTTTCGAAAAAAAGTACTTTGATTTATTGTTACACTGTTAGTCAAGAAGAATTGACAAGGGTTACTTGTATTCGGGACTTGGAATTGCTTTTTTGCAGTGACCTTTCATTTAATAGACGTACATGTGAAGTAATTTCAAAAGCTTTAAGAGCTCTTGGTTTCATAATTAGAAACACATCAATGTTTCATAATATTAATACACTAAGAATTCTTTACTTCTCCTTGGTAAGATCGCTGCTGGAGTATGCTTCTGTAATATGGGTGCCATTTTATGATTTTAACTCAATTAGAATTGAAAGAATTCAAAACAGATTTCTTCGTTTTGTAGCGAGACAATTTAATGTACAATTTGACAGATACTCCCATGATTATCATTTAATACTCCGCTAATTGCATCCAGATTTCTTTTTTAATGACTTGACTTTTTTTATAAGATTATAAATGGTATAAAATTATAATATTGTTGACTTTTTTGATAGTAACTTCTTAAGATTCACCTCTTCATTGCGTAGGTTCATTTTAGACTTTTGAGTTAAAACTACCTAGCGTAGATTACACAGTTAATATTGTATAATATAAGTTGCGGTTGCAACTTTTAGATTGTAAGAGTACTAAGTACTCTTTCCCTTTCGTACTAAGTACGAAAGGGCTTATCCCGTATACTTGTTAAATAAATAAAATAAATAAACACCTATCAAAAAATAGTTTTAGTTGGCTAAAAATAGAATTTAATATTTGGCCCAAGCCATTTAACTTTTCACCCCCAGCATGGGGTGAAAAAAAAACAAAATTTTTATAAGCATTTCATGACAGAAACTGTCATGAAAATGACAGTAGTTAGGAATTATTAAAATTTAATGTTTTCAAAAACAATGTACATTTCGAAAGTCTTTTTATTCCTCAATATCACAATTAAAGATAAAAAATAATATGCTGTATAAAAATTTGTTAGAAATTTCATCAAGTTTTTAAAAATGCAATCAAAATTGAAATTAAATTAAACTTAAAAATTTTCTATGAGGGAATTTTTAAATTATTTCACTATTTATGCAAGTCGGTGAAATATAGACTAAATCTTTTTTTAACTCCTTATTGCAAAACCTAAAAAAAAATTTAACTAGAATAATTTGTCAGATTATACACATACATTAAATATGCCTTATAATTTGTGAAATCGATGTTAAGAGATAATACAAAATGTAATAAATCATTTATTCCTAATATATAACCAGCAGTTTCGCTATATTATAGTTTGTTTGAATAGAGATTGGTGAAATTATAACAAATTACTTCATTTTTATTTCTCTACATTGAGTATCTTTTACATAAAATACAAATTAAAGTAATTCATAATTGTACATTAATAATTCCAAAAATTATATTTTAGTCTATGTTGCTTCACAAAATTATTGAAAAAGGCCTCATCAACCTCTTTTACTTCGCAATCACCATTCGTACAAACCTGAAAAATAAAAATATTGATCTTTTTTCTTCTCGTTAAAAAACAATATCATTAAAAAATAAGAAAATACATTTAATGTGACGAACAAATATTTAACGATTTAACTAGTTTAAGAGTAGGGTAAGAACAAATTTGAAGCTATAATTTATACCTGAAGATTTTTTAGTTAATATTTTTAAAAAATAAAAAGACGTATTAATAAGACCACCCTTTCGTAAACAATTGATGTTAGTAAATTTTTGAAAATAAATATTATGAAAAGAAATTATTTTCTAAATTTAAAATTTACCTTTATTGTATGCTTTGGTGTAACTCGTACATTCTTTGGACGTTGTACAAAGACAGGAGTCACTGTGGTAGTTGGTACTCTTGTAATGATTGGATTTTTTGGTACGACAGGCTTCTTGTATGGCCTTTTTGTTACTGGTTTATAATTCGGTTTGTCTGAATAGCTTTTAACAATATCTACACACTCTCCTGATAAGCAATACTGAAAATAAAATTGTAATTCATCAGTTAATAAATGTATAAATTCGAAATTTATAAAAATAACGATAGACACGATTTACAAATTATTGATAATTAGATTAACAAAAAAATTAAGCTATTATAAACACAATTTTTTGTTACCTTCCCTTCACCACAGGAAGATCCTTCTGCTGGTGGGTCTCTGGATGATATGGAGGTATATGATCCTCCATTTTGTGAATTGACACACCACAAATCTAAACATGTTGTACTCTCCTATAAGGCAATAGAAATAGTAATATTAAACTACATGAATATAAGATAAGTATTATGTTTTATCTTTATGGCAGTATAGAAAAAACTTACAAGGTTGCATCTAATGTAACCAAAATTTTTACATTGTTGATCTAAAGACATTAATTGACCAGGTAATATTCTCGGTAGTGGTTTGTTGTTTTCATATTCTGCAGGATTATTTTGTACGCACTTTGCAAAGTCTTGGCTGATGGAAAAAATAATTTATTGTTTTATGGGTCTAATTAGTAGTAGCAAAATTAAAGCAGTGTCACTTCAGAGGACAAATTCAAATATCGTTGCAATTGAGTTTTATTGGTTTTTAAAAATTATAGGCCCTAAATTATTTACAAAATTTTAATTCGACGTACCTTAAAATATCTCTAATAACCTGTTTTGAACAAGGAGAGAATAAAATCTTGCTTTTGGTGTTATGATTATAACTCATAATGTAACCTTCCTCTTGACGACAATACTTAGTATTATATGTGCTACCTCCGGATGATGTAAATTCCTCTTCATCATGAGGTGCACCAAGGCTAAAAAAAATTGTTTGCTCAAATTAATTACTTGCTATTTGTTATAACGGGAAATTGAATTAATGAGATTTAACATTTATTAACATAACAATTAGTGATTCTTACATATGACCTAATTCGTGAGCAACAGTATTTATCCCTCCATAACCATTCTGATCTTCAGCTACTCCGCAAGAACTGTATTGATAATAACCATTCTCTTTACTCATACATACTCCTCCAACAGTGGCATAACCTTTAAACAACAATTTTGATTTTAAAAATTTTAACTTTTGTATAGTATGCTAACTAAAATTATTATTATTTTATTATACTTTTCATATGAATAATTGTTAAGCGTACCAGCTACTGAAGACTCTCCAGTTTGATCATCCACCATATCTCTTCCAGTTATTAACATTGCTATATCATAATTCTTTTCATGTTGAAGAACTTTATCTTCATCTAAAAACTTTTTAAATTCCTTGAATGACAAGTCTGTATATATCCTGTCACCTCCAAGATTGGCAATTCCGTTTCTTATAAATGGCAGTGGTTCCTTTAACAAGAATAAAAACTGTTTAAGATATTTTTCAAATTATATAATATTTTTTCCAGAAATAAAAAGATTTTTTAATATTTAAAAAAATGTCACTAAAACTCTTACAAACTTATGAGTCAGATGTAAAGATGTTTTCTTTTGGATATTTAAAACTAAAATACACATATACCTTAATTAATACTATTCCAGCAATATTAAGACGAATTTTTGGTTTTTCAAATTCTCTAAATCTTAAATCAACTCCATTCCAAAAACTCAAGGTATATTCTACTGCACTTATCATATCATAATTAAATTTCCTGTAATATAAAAAAATTATACGATTATAAGTAACATGAAATAAAAATTAACTAATTAATGCCTAATTACACTTTGGTATTTCTTAAAAATTCTAAACTCTATTGTTTGGCGATGTGTAACAAATTAAAATGACTTTAACAATTTAAGCTGCTCACTTGAAAAGTATGTCGTCAACGAAAACCATAATTTCTGGATACACTATTTTCGGTAACTCTTTAGCTGATCTTCGAGATACGTTCTTAATATTTGAAGCTTCATCATTGTACATTTTAGGCGCAGACAATTCTAAAAAGAAATTATTTTGTCATTTTTCGTATAATTAAAGATGAAGTGGATTCACTTTTTAGTTTATATCTATTATCTGTAATGAAAATACTCACGGGATGCATTTTTGAAAACTTGTTTAAAAATTATATGTTCAGTAGTTTCAATAAAACCATCGGCTACACTTTCAAATGATGAAGTATTGCTTTTCAAAAGATCACGACGTTGACGTAAATGCTTAGGCAGTGGACGTATTACCATGTTTCTATTAATAATTCCATTCTTAAAAGAGAAAATTGATTTTTTATTACGAAATATTAAAAGTAAATTAATGAAAAGAAGATTAATAGAAAATTAAACATTAAGGTATAGTAAAAAAATACTTACAAATTCAGAATTGCCGTATTTATTAACACTGTGAGTAATAGATGAAGAACTTTTTGGATCTTGATAAAAATTCAAAAAGATGTTGTTCATAATCTAAAATAATATTGTATTTTAAAGGTATACATTTATACGTATAAAACTTGAATTATTTAGTAGGTCTAGTTTGCATAGCTTTGTATATAATACGTACATTCGGTTCTAGTTTAAAATCCACTTCCCTTTGGTAACCTCTTGAGGCTGTGAAAATCTTCGTCCCTGTTCCTGCAAGTAAACCTTCAGTAGGTTGCAAATAAATTTCACGCTCTTTACCATTTATTTTAGTATGAAGTGTTAATTCATTGATACTCCGTTTATGGAGCATGTGACGAACAGGCACCACCTCGTAATCAGTTACTAGAATATCAAATTTAAAAATATAAATTCAAAGCTGACATTAATTTTTTTAATAATTTAGAAGTAAATCAATTGATACGTATTTTACAAAAATTATACATTTAAAATAATTACCATCGTCGATTGAAAAATCATCCTCGACGTTATTAACTAACGTATATGATTGCGTGAACGGCACCAATAGAGTGCAAAGTAAGAATACGTAGTAATACATCTACAATCGAACAATTTTTTATTAATAAATAAAATATTTATTATTATGTACAATATTTTATTTAGAGAAAATCTTTTATTTATTTTCTTACCTTTTTTCAAAAGCACTGTTCAAATTTACCATTAGCGAAGAATACAAAGGTATATATGGATTTTTGACAGAATTCTTTGTATTTATACTCATAAAAATGTTTTTACAATTTTATACTGATAAGAGTACATACGTAATTGAATATTTGTTACAGTTTTGTCAATATTATATATTGAATATAAAAATTATAGAGAAATTAAAATATTCATTTTTCTAGATCCTTTTTGAATTTATTTTATGCAAAATATCCATTATATTATAATTATATGAAAATAAGTCACTTGTATAAACGTTTGACGGCATAGAATTTCGTCATTCTACATTAAGAGAATTAACTGTATTGAAATAAATGAAATGAAAAAATTTGGCACGTGATAAATTACATATTTTATACTAGAAATTTTCTATGTACATAATCTTTAGAAGCGTCAATGAATGACAAATATAAAATGTTAGAGTAAATAAAATATTAATCATTTTGAGTAAATACATGTTTTGCTCACTATTTTTCAAAATTTGGCATTTAATTAATTTTTAAAAAATTATTTCCACTTGAACACTCACATACGATTCAAAAACTTTAAAGAAAAGTTATATTAAATTTGAAAGTTGAAAAAAAGTTGCCGTTTATTATTTTCGAGTTAGAAAAAAAATTGAAATTTTTCCAACATGAAGCTAAATGAACAGATAAGTTGAAATCTATTAATATTATCATTATTTTATTATTTTAACAACTATATATGTACAAGTATTTTGAAAAATTTATTTTAAAATAAATTTGTTATGTTAAAAATAGAATGTGGCGATTAAAAAATACATAATTTAATAAAAGTATTTTAAAACCATTTTATTGAGAAATTTCTTCCTAGATAAAAATAAATTAAGACTTCTTTTTCTCGGCAATGAAATCGGGACGTCGATGTGAAGCTGGAGAATCGCTAACGCTCACTTCTTCGTCTTCAATTTCCAAACTATTTAATCTGTGTGAAAAATTAAATTATTATAAAGTGTATTTTTAATAATTTAATTTAAAATTTACAGAAAGTTTTCTAAATTGTTTAAGCATATTGAAACCATTGAAACTATATTTTTTATGTTAAAATAAAAAAAATTCTTTTCTATTTCAATATAGAAATGCTTTAATATTAAAATATAAGAATTCATTTAATATTAAAATATAAAAGAAAACAGTTAATAATAAATATTTATTTTCAATTATAATTTTTTTTTCTTACTCGTCCTGCTCAAGACTATGCAGCATTTGAAATCCTGCATCGAGACTTGGTGGAAATCCCATATCTGGATCAAGTAGTTGAAGCGTTGGAACTTCTCGATCACTAATATTGCCGAATTCATCTAAATCTTGAAATTGAAATCTACTCGCAATTTCATCTAATTCCATTCTAAAAAAATTCAATTTTCATTTAACTAAAAATAGCCCCTTCATTTTATTTAGATACTAAAATTTGAAGATTGATTAAAAAATTTACTTTGTACTGCTAGCGTTAAGTTCCATGATTTGTTTCTCAACTGCTTTCTCCATTTTCTTCTTAACATGTTGCTCAAAGCCTAAAATTGTATTTTGATAATAACTGTGCAGTCCTTCAACACCACCGATTCCCGATTCAATAAGTACTCTCTCCATTGCATCCTAAAAATGAAAATTAATCAATTCTAAAAATTCATAAATTTTTTTTTTAAAAATCACTTAAAAAAACCCATTTTTTTTAAAAGAGGATTAAATTCTATAAAAAAGAAAATAGTACCGGAAATCCATAATCGTCTTGTTCAGAAGCAAGTTTCAAGAGGCGGCAAATCCTTGTGAGAAAATAATCAGCAACATCAGTGAGTGTTTCAACGGCCATGTCTGATGATTTTGCATATCCAATGTGCGCCAATAGAACAATTACTGAATGCTTCAATAAACTACGAGCAGTTTCCGGTCTCAGCTCTATCGTTGGATAATTTTTCTTTATATTTTTCACAAAACATCTGTTTATTAAAAAAAAAAGTAACTCCATAAAATATTTTATTTGAAACTGTTTGATTAGAAAGAATTTTTTTTCCATTTCAATTTAAATTAAAATTAAATTTCCTCTTGTAAATTGTACTTGTTATTATTTTTAAAAAGTTACATTTTAATGCGAATTTTTAATAGCAGATAAAATTTTCTAATCCAATACTTTTGAATGAATGAAATTTCTAAATAAAAATTCACGAATAAAATTAATTTAAGTCGAAATAAAATTTTCAATTCAAATCTGATTTTTATACGCTATATTAAAATATTTATAAAACGCGTAATAATAACATAACATCATATTAATAACATAATAAAAATAAAACTATTTTTTATGCTAAAGATGATAATAATTCTAATTAAATTATTATTAATGATTGTTTACAACAATCATTAGATGTAAATTATTTTTGATAAATTAAACATAAATTATTACCTTCTTGGTCGAGGATTTAAAAATCCAAATAGATTTTTCGATTCTATTGGTGGTGATTCGTCTTCTATAGATGTGATATTCTTTAAAATTTCACCATCGTCCTGAAATTATGAAAAAAAAATATATTTTAAAATGTTTTTATTTACTTATAATAAAATTCTTAAATTCTTCCTTACATCAATATACTTTTTTTAATAAGGTCCTTGAGAATTTTGAAATCTATCTGTTTAAAATTCAATTTTACGAAATTACGATTTTTCGAAAATTCTTCAATTAAATTAGAATATAATTAGAAATTAAAATAAATTAATTAGAAAATAAAAATTTTGAATAATTTCAATGAATTTTCAACTTTAAATTAGAATTTTTCAAAAAAATTAATTTGACACAATTGTTAATTAAAAATATTAAAAATTCAGTTTGTCAAAGACTTTAATATGAAACCTTTTCAAAATTCAATTATTTTTAAAAATTTCCATTCTTGTAAATTCTCCAAAATTCAATTATTTTCAAAAATTTACAAATAAAATGATTTCTCAAAATTAATTATTTTTAAAAATTAAATAATATACTGAAAAATTCAAGTAATTTTAAAAGAATTTGAATTACATTTTTTTTTTAAATTCTAATTTTTATTTAAAATTCAAATTTTTAAAAATTTTAAATTGAAACCATTTGAAATTAAATTAATTTAAAAATATTTAAGTAAAATTATTCATTAAATAATTTATAAGAAAGAATTTTAAGATAGTTCTTCAAAAATTAAGTTATTTAAAAAAAAATTATTGGCGAAAATAGAATAAATTTAAGGTTTTGTATTCAAAATATATGGTATTTAAATTTTTTAAAACAAACAACTTAAATTGTTGGTATTGATTGAAAAAAAAATTGTGAAGTCCTTACCATTGATCTCATTTGTTCATGATAATTAATTGTATTTAATACATGAATATTTCCCAATGGCATTCTGAAAATTTTTCAATAAAAGTTATTATTTTCAATACGTAAGATAAGAAAAATGTTTATTTTTAAATTGAAAAAAAATTTTTAATTTCTGCGTTTAAATTAAAAAATAATTTTTTAATTTTTATTGTTAAATTAAAAAAATATTTTTACATAGTTTTTGTTTTTATGTTGCTATTATTTTTATATAAATTATAATTATTATTTTATTATATCTAAATATATTTTTTAACTATTTTATTAATTTATTTTTTTTTTATTTTTTTCAATTTTCTAAATTATTTCACTTAAAATTTTTTTCCATTTATTTTATTAACAATTTAAAAAAAAATATTTTACATTAAATTTTCTTTTTGAATTTCAATTTATAAATTTGTTTTTAAATATATGAAATTAATTTAACTTACAGAACGTAATCCTTTTCCTCTTTATTTTCAACTGAATTATCGGCGTTTGCTTCCAAAACTTGTCGCCAAATATTCTCAATAATATCAGGTGTTATTATTTCTTGATTATGAAGTTCTCGGACAGGTAATTCACCCCAATGTGTTCCTGTTAAAGTACTTTTACTCGACTTCATGTTTAATTCTAAAAAAAGAAAAGATGAAGAAAAAAATTTTAATTTAGCCAAATTTTTCTTTTAATTTGCAAGATTTTTCTTTAAGAAAATCATTTTATGTAGAAAAAAAATTTTTTTACCTTTGTTACTTAATTTTTAATATTTTTTTTATATTTTTTATATTAAAAAAAATGTTATTTAAAAGAAACACTATCGAGGCAGAAAAATTATTTTATTTATTCAAAATTATTGCATTGCTATGAATGGAAATTATTTTTTATCTAAATTTCTTTAAACTATTTTAATTTAAAAATAATTTTTTTTTATTTGAAATCTATAAAAATAAATAAATGGGCTTCAAGTCCGTTTTTATTTTTTTAAATAAATAAAATTTATTTAAAATGTAAATAACAAACAGTTTTAGAAAAAATTTTCTGTTTTTAAGTTTTAAATAAAAATTGTTTTATAGAAAACAAAAAGAAATTTATCGAAAATTCGAAAGGAAACATAACCTACAAAACGGTAGAAATCAGAAATATATTATTGAGTACTTACCTGTATTTGTATTAAAAATATTCTTCAATCAGAAATTACGGCAAATAAAGAAAAACCAATTAATTACTAAAAAATTGTCATTGTTTCGTTTCACTGTATTTTATCCATTTTATCATTTTAGATATACAGATAAGATTAAATTTTTGGTAAATTTTCGTTTTTAAAATGTACATGGAGAATTTTTAGTTTTCGCGCTGCAAACGAGCGACAAATGACGTTTCATTCAAGTCATCTGGGCGAAAAACACTCGTAAAACATCTTATTTTTTATTAAACAAATGTAACACTTTTATTATTATAAAAGAAATCAAATTTTCTATAAACTATTGCACTGTATTTTATTGTTATAGGAAATATTTAATAAATTAAGTTTTTTTTACAAATAAATAAATGATGTTTAAGTGACAAACGATATACAAAGTGACACACTCATTTTTATAGGTTAAGTTTTGTTTTTCTCTAGTGTCAGTTTTATGGTGCGCATGCGTAACTATTTAAGCGCGTTTATTTACTTTATTTGAAATTAGAAGATTAAAAAGTTTTTTTTTTTATTTATAATTTAATAATTTTTTTATTTTGCAATTAATGCGAAAGTTTATTTTTAAATTTTGGGGAGTAATTTTTTTTGTATGACAACAATGGAAAGTGCGGCAGGGAAAATTTTACAACGTGCTGTTGAAATGGATCAAAAAGAACAATATACAATGGCTTTAGTACTTTATCAGGAGGGATTGGAAATTCTTGTGAATTCTATTAAAGGTAAATATTATTATTTTTTTTGTGATTTTTGTTTTTATTTTTTATTTTTCTCTAAATGAAATAAATTTTGAGTTTTTCTTTTTTTTAATTAAATATTTAAATAATTAATATATATATGTGAAGCGATGTGAAGAAAGGGGACCTAAGAAGGAAACGAATTATAGGTTATGTTTACGGCAGATTTACCTTGATTAAAAGTTTCCTTCTGTTTCTTTAAAATTAAAATAAGAGATTATTGAATATTTTTTATGTAATATTAAAAATTGATTCTCTTTGTTTATATTTATTTCAAACTTTTAAAATATGATCTATAATTTTTGGCTTCTTATAGGTCCCTTTCTTCATCATATCGTATGTATTAATTAATATATATTAAGTATGTACTAATTCTTTGTATATAAAATTATTGATAATAATGAAATAAAATCGAAATCGAAAATAATTCTACTTTTTAAAAATATAAAAATTTTTTTTTTATCTAAATAAACAATAATGGGTAAGAAAAAAAATATAAACCGAATTTTTTTTTTAATTAATGCTTTAATCTATACCTAATAATATTATTAATGAATTTGCAAAATAATTATAATTTTCGATTTTAGAGACTACGGATCAAACGAAGAAGAAACATTTTAAAGAGAGAGCTGAGCAGTACATGGACAGAGCGGAAAGAATAAAATGTTTAATTGAAGACAAAAAATCGCGTGGAAAATATCGAGAGCAAATAAAAATTGAAAATGGCTCATCTGGCTATGGTTATGGATCTGTTTTTGGTCGATTTTTAGACGCCGGTGTCACTCAAATTCATATAGAAGATCCATATGTTCGAACTTTTCATCAGGTAAGTAAAACATTTCTTTTCATCATACTTTTTATATTATTATATGTTTAAGATTAAATTTTTTATGCAATTTTCATCAAATTTCTCGAAAAATGCATAATTATTCTTAAAAATTTCATTAAAATTTTGTTGATAAAATTCTTTATGGGAATTGAATTTTAAGAAACATTCAATTATTTATTTTTTGTATGTATTTAAATAATTGAATTCTAATTATATTTTCTAATAAAATTTGATTTAAAAGTGAATTCCAAATTAAAATCTTTGAAAATTTGAACTTTTATAATTTTAATTAAGAACTCATATAGAATTCATTTTTCTCAATAAGTTTAATGGAATTTTTTTTTTATTATTTTGAAGTTTTTAACTTCTAATATATTTAATTGAAGAATGTCAGAATAATCGAAATTTCGTAAAATTAAATTGTAAACAAAAGAATTTGAAAATTCATAAAGAACTTTTTTAAAAATGATATGTTATTGAATTTCAAATTTTTGAATATCTTAATTTCTATAAAAAAAATAATACATGATTAAATATTTATTTAAAAATGAAATTATTGATGTCCAAATGTACACGTATAATAACACATTATTATTTTTTAAAGGGTTGTAATTATAGATTGTTGACAATAAATTATTTGAATAAAAGAATGACGGCATTTTAAGCTTCAATGAATAACAACAGACCCAAATTATTAGAGTAAATAGAATAATAGTCGTTTACAAAAAGTTTTAATATTTTTTTAGATAAAAAGAGAAAACGAATCGACGAAAATAAATTATAATAAATAAATAATAAATTTTTTCAAAATATCTTCTTTGGATGAAAAAATTTAATAATATAAAAATTTAAACAATTTTCAACTTTATTGACAAAATTTTTATTGTATCCACATTTTGGTATAAAAATTACATTTTTGAAATTACGGCTTGTAATTGAAAATTTCAATCCAGAAAAGAATTTTTTTTCATCTTGTTGTATAACATCTAATATTTTTAAAATTCGCCAAAAATTTTTGTTTCCATTTTTTGAAGTTAAGTGTTCCAGGAGTAGAAAATTTCTAGAAAATAATAATTATTAAGTTGTGAAAAAAAGCATATGTTTAATAAATTTAAAAAATATTATGTATATTATGTTCTAGGTTATTTAAGTGAAAAAAAAATTATTATAAAGTCGAATAAATTTATAATATTTCAATTATCTACAAAAAGATTTCAGTTAAAAACTATTGTTATTTTCAGAAATAATTGATTTTCAGAAGGTTTTAAACAATAAAATTATATGAAAATTTACATTGCTGTGTGAAGAAATTAACAATTAGTTATTTATTCAAAAATTATATTTAAATCATAAATAATTACTATCAAAATTCTGAGGAAGTAAGGTTACTGGAAAATGTCAATTCAATTTTTTAAAGGTACTTGAATTTTTTAAAAAAAAAAGTGTTATTAAAAAATTATTAATTTATTTGGAATTTTATGAAAACAAATTGAAAATATTCAAAAGAAATTTTATTAAATTTAGTGAATTATTTAATTTTACTGAATCAGAATCGAGAGTACTTATGTTTTTTAGTGTAAAAATTCATTTAATTTTAAAACAATTACGATTAAAATTTTTATTAATTAGTTAATTTTAAAACTTGTTCAAGTTTCTTTATAAACATTTTAAAGTTTATAAAATCGTCTTTAAAAGTTGAACCAGGTATGCATCGTATATACGAAGCAGACACTAAGTAAATATAATTTTTTTTTTATAAACATGTTGATAGTAAAAAAAAATATTTTAATTCTAAATTTTAGAAAATTTTCAATATTATAAAATTATAAAATTTAAAATATTTATAATATATAATATATTTATAATATAATATTAATAATAATCTTTAATAAATATTTATAAATATTTAAATATATATAATAATTTACCATCAGTGACAATTGTCAATACGAAAACAATCAAAACGAATAGTGCCAAGTATTTCATTTTTATAAAAATTTTATAAATCCCTTGGGTAAAAAATGAAAATAAGTTTTAAATTAGACTCTTTTCTGAATTCTCTGCAATGGAATGAATGTACTTCTTCAATTTGAAATCCCGTATTTATATCCAAAAGGGAAAATTAATGTTAAGTCAATAATTTCAACTTATTGAATATTTACTAAGACTTCTATTAGAGATGTTTTTCGTACAGAATAAGAATTATTACTAATGCTCTCAACTTTCGTCTCAAGCCCGAAGAATTTCGTCGAAGTGTTCCTTCAATATCCCCACTTATTTTACTTTTCGCAACTTAGCCAATCGTACCAAATTATTTGGTAAAATCAGCCCCTTTTGGAATTTTCCTTTTCCCACTTCAACTTTCTCGAAGAGCGAAGACAATATTGTGGAGTGTGCGGTCCCGAGTCCTTTAGGTGCACCGCCCTTATTTCTGAGTGCTGATAGGTTTTAATTTTGTGAATTTTGTTAATTTAATATTAAGAAAGAAAATTATTATAATCATTAAATAAGATAATTAATAAAATTAATTATATATATATATATATATATATATATATATATATACATATGCATACACACATACATGCACATACACACATACATGCACATACACACATACACAGATGATAACTTTTGCTATATCGACGATAGAGTATATTAATAAAGAAAAGAAATTATTTTAGTCAATTCTTATTCTTACAAAATAATAATTTACAAAAATACATCTTAAATTTCAACCATATTTTCGTTATGATAATTCTAAAGTGAAATGTTACTCAACATTTCTTTTGTTGATTTGTCCTTTGTGTCATTTGCCAATAGTTAAATAAACTTTCAGTTAAACAATAAATTTCGATCCTTTTATAATTAATATTTCTTTATATTATATATTATAGATATATAATATAATAAATTTCGCAAGGTTAATATAATTTTGATAATTACATTTTAATCGTTCGCAAATTAAAATTTGAATTATGCCGCATAATTTGTAAAGATACGCTCGTGTTTAGTGTCAGGATCGTCATACATATGGGTTGTGCAGTGAGTAATCTTTTATCTTTTTCTATTTTAAATTCAACAAAAGGAAAACGTTTTACTCCGGATTATTAAAATTCATAAATTCTAGAAAGGTTTTAAGACCCAAATACCCTTACTCATAAAATCTTTGCAAAACCTTTTTTTTTTTTGGAATGGTTAAAATTAAATTTAAAAGAGTAACTATAACAATACCTTTTATATTCTTCTTCAAAGTTCAAAACATGTTAAGCTTAAGAAATTTTTGAGCTGATATACAGATGTCGAGCAATAAAATTTCGTTTCGAGGGATTAGGACAAGGAATATTGCTTTACGCATTACCTCCTATACGTGCTATTGTCCTTTGGGTTTTTCCCGACTAAGTAAAGAAAACAACTGTAGTTTGAAAAGCGTCGAGATATAGATGTAATATGATTTGAAAAATTTTAAATTCCTACAGAAGAATAATTATGATTAAATATTTATTTGAAAAAGAAGTTATTGATTTCTTTTGAGTATAATTTTACAATTAAAGAAATTTGTAAATAAATGTATTGGAATATTTTTTTGAGTATCTAATAATTTTTAGAGTGAATCGGAATATTATTTAGGGTCAGGGAAAAAGTGTTGGAAATTTTGTCTGGAAATCAGGGAAACATAAAATTAAATATTTATGGCAACCCTGATAATATATATATTAAATAAAATTTTATTCTTTTTCATTTAGTGTCAGAATTTAGTAAGATTTTGTGAATTGGCCGTACAGAAGTGTCATTCACTTTCGAAGATAAAATTAATAACGACAAAGGAATCAACGGAGGAAGTAAAACATCAAATTGCAAGATTGGATGAACTGGAAAAAAGTTTATTGAAACGATCTGTAAATTTAATGATTGACTATTCGGAGACTTTACACGATCGACGAATTATGTAAGAAAATTTAAACTAAATTTATTTTCTATAGGAGTTAATTAATATTATTACAGTTTCTTCCAATTATTATATATTCTAATTTGTTTCTAATAATTCATAATTCTAAGTTTAATAATCTTTTTTCTTAAAAAAAAAAAATTTTTTTTTTTTATTTTAATAAGGAATTCAATTTGAAATATTTTGTTACAGATTGAGTAATGGATGGGTCATTAAAATAGGAAGAGGTCTTGATTATTTTAAAGCCCCCGAAGGAAAATTCTCTTTAGGAGCTTGTGACTTAGAACTTAGATTATGCCACGAAACGATTATTGACATCTATCATCAAAGTCATTTACAAGACTCGATCAATTAATATTGTAAAATAATAAATCTTATTTAGCACACTAAATATTGGATTGTATTTTATGAATTAAACTATATACTTTTTTACAATAAGACACGCGATTAATTGTATTATTACCCGTGTGGAAAAATTTTAGGGCGCTGACCAAGCGCTTAATAGACTGTCTAACGTCTTTCTAGACCCAGGGCAGACGGTCTTGTCGAGCGGCTGTTCAGAATTGAAACGAAACTTCCACGCTATCGTCTAGAATAGACCAGCGTTTCTGGTCTGATCAGCAGTGCTAGTAAATTCTAATCTACGTCTATTCAAAATTTCTCATTATATGTTATGACAACTATTCTTAGAATAATAAAACTTAATTATATTTGAAATAATTTTAATGACTTTTTTTTATATAAAAAGTATTAAAAAATATTTTAACTTTCTGTATTTTTCACTTCAACTTTCTTTAAGCGTAAGGCTTTGTGTCCCTCCCAATCTTTGGCATTGGAGATAGTAGTCTTTTTGTAAAATAAAATTTACTGCAAATCAAAACAGCCGGATGAAACTATCAGTCGTACTCAGCACCAATCTTTAGGCGTCAACCACTAATTAATGAAATTAATAAATAAAAACTTACTAAATTTGCTATTTAGTGGATATTGATTCTCAAATAACAATACTCGATGGTTTTTTAAATCATTAAGTATTACAAAATTTGAAGGAGAGGCATATTGGTAGATGACGCCTAAACATTGATGCTGAGTACGACTGCTAGCTTCAGCCGACTAATCAAAACACATAGATACACATCAAAATCTATTTTTTTCAGTGCACATTTAAAATTAAATTATACAGAAAACAACAACAACATAGCACATTATTATTCACGTAAAACAGAAACCACAACAAATACTATAATTCACAAACAAAATGCATCACACACTGACTGATCTAACGACGCCAAACGACGCGACGCCATTAGGCGCCATGTTACTTAGCAGCTGGGCATTCATCGACGCATGCGCATATAACATCCTAGACCAAATCTAGACGGTCTTAATAACACCGTACTAGACGGACATATTTGACTTAGATTTTTTCTAATAAGCCAATCTGTTAAGTCACTGATTCGGGACTTGATGGACCGTCTAGAATTAGACGGACTTGATGATTGCTAATCGGGAAATCATTGGACTCTAGACTGCCACAATATTTTTCCACACGGGTAGGTAAAATTATTTTAACATATAATAAAGAATTCAAAAAATGAATATGTATTATTTATTTAAATATATTAATAAAATTCTGATTTATATTAACGAAAATGGCGTCAAAATTTGATTATGATTTTCTAATTCTCTATAAGGAGATTTTTATTATCAAAACAAAGAAGTATTCTTATTTTTTAAGATAAAAGAAGCAAATAGTGTAAATTTTTCAAAAAGTCGTCCGCCATTTTGAATTTTGAAAATCTAACATTATATTCTTCATTGACCCCAAAATAGTCAAACAACAGGAAATAGTGACTTGCAGGAGCAAATTAACGAAACATTTATGATTAATGAAAAATTATATTTTTATTAACACACATTACATATTTTAATATTTTCCAAATAGATTACATTTTTAAAAATACATTCTTTTTTAAATATATTAGCAATGAATTTTAATTTAGAAATGAGCTTCGAAATAAAGTGTATAAAAATATTCTTTTGATCGTTTGTAGAATATTATTTCCAAAATCCTTGAAATGCACATTTTTCACGAAATTATTTTATTCGATAAAAGAGTGTATTCCAGTGACTAGAAAATTGCTAAAAAAATAACTGTATTTAGTACAAATAATGATATAGAATTATTACTCTAATTGTAACAAGGGGATGAAAATAATTAAATTAAACGACAATTTTTCATTACAAAATTTTTAAAGTAAAAAAAAAAAAAATTTTCAATTTTAGTTTTCTAAAATTTTACAAATGAGATACAATTTAAAGACATCAATAATGAAAAAATTGTTACAAACCTATATTATCCTTTAGTTACACAGTCCATTAGTGTACATATTGCCGACATACCATTTCTTGAACAAACACATTCATTGCAATCGATCTTAAAATTTGAACCAGGTTTGCATCGTTTATGCGAAGCAGAAACTATAATAATAATTTCATATTAAACAATCTTAAATATATGAAAAACTGTTTAAAAGCATATACTGTTAGAAATTCAATGTTAATTTTTTCGACCACTTTACTCTTATTAAATATTTAAAAATTTGAGCTAAAATTTTGTATAAGAAAATCTAAAATATAATAAACAAGGATAGTGATGTGCAAAAGTTTTAATAATTCAAAAATAAATTATAATAAAACACTTTGAAATCGCGGTAAAGAAGAGAAATTAATTAGAAGTGACAACGGTGAAACGACGGTACTTTTATAAATAAGTAATTTGTAATAATTAATTTTAAAAATATTAAAACTTCTTTTAAATATTTATAAAATAGTTAAAAATATATAATTTACCATCAGCGACAATTGTCAAAGCGAAAACAATCATAACGAAAAGTGCTAAATATTTCATTTTTCAAATTTGTTTAAAAAATTTAATACAATTACTCAAAAGACACTTTATTTTACAATTTACCGTTAGGTGTGTATGAATATTGTTCGTCAATTGAGAATCCCTATTTATATGCAAAAAGAGTATATTGCTTTCATTGCTTCCTTGAAATGAAAATCTCGATTCGTAAAAAATGCTAAGTACCTTATCGGTTTTTATCAGCGCAGAGAATACAGGAATAGCAAAAAGTTTACATTATACTGTCAATAATGTTTATAATTTGCAATGTTCTTCCATATTTCGACATAAATCACTATATATATATATAGGTATATATTACAAGTGAAAAATAATTTTGTGCAATTTACAATGAAAAAGTTTCATCATACAATAAACATAATGATAATGCATATTTTGCTTTAGAAAAAAATTTTTTTTCTTAATAAATAAAATAGCGCATTTTAGATTTTAAGAATAATAATTAAAGTATATTTTTAGTTTAAGAATATAATAATTAACGAATTTTGCGTTTATAGTTATTTAAAAAGAAATTTTTGTCAGAAATTGAAAAAATTAATTTGAAGGTTTTCTATTAGGAGAATTCGTGGTAATAATTTAGAATTACCTATATTATTATTATTATTAAATATAATAATATTATATATAATATTATAATAATATATAATAATATATTATAAAATATTATTATAATAATATATTATATATTTTAATATTATAATATTATATATTATATATTTTAATACTAATATTATTATTAAATAATTATTATTTTCTTTCCCATGGTATTTTGTTCTAAAATTTAACTCATGTTTAATTTGTATAATAAATGTTGTTATTATAGTAAAAAAAATTCATGATGGATAATATTTTAATTTCGAAACTATACTGATCGGAAGTGCTAATATATTTTTGATATAATTTTAACCACCAGCAAAACAACGCAAGTCAATAGAATTTTAGTTATTAAATATATTAATGGACTGTCAACGACTTAAGCCGTGTTTTTATTAAAAATGGCTTCGGCTTCATCCACTTGATCGCAAGATTGCCGTTCGTTAATTTGTATATTTTTCTTGTGTTGACTAATTAAAGCATCAAAATCAAATTAAAAACAGGTAAAGTTCGTCTAAAATATATTTTAGTTACATTTTTTTACACTTTTGGGCATTTATTTTATACTTTTTAATGTAGGCTCTGTGTTGTATAAACACAGACACTATATATATCATAACATAACCTTCAAAATATTCTTAAAATACTTCAAATGTAATTATAGAATTAAACTATATCTTAATTACTTAATTATAAAAAGTCAAATAAAAAATTTATAAATAACGCAAATAAAACAAAAACATTCGGATAATGAAATTTATTTACTCCAACGTTTCGAAATCTAATAATAAACGATTATTATCAGAAATGTTTTTCATAAAAAAAAGAGAAAATAGTTTAAACAAAATGACTGACTTGGATAATTTTGATAAATATCGTACGAAATGATTTTGAATTTTATTTCTAGTAATTTAACGTAATTTAAATACGAACTCATTGAGTTTCATTCTTTGTTCTTATTTAATTTATTATTTAATTATTTGTTTTTGTTTTTCTCTCTTTAATTAATGTTCATTGTAAGGACACTCGAAAGAAGCTCAGTTTTAAATTTGACTTTGCAGTTTGCAATAAGTTTTTACTTAATTTGACAAATTATTTCTGTTTATTTTGTAAATTATTGTATATTGTGAACCGTTATTTATTCATTTATTTATTATTTATGTTTATTTATTTATTTATTTATTTAATGTTTATACACTATGACGGATTATTTATTTTTATTTATTGTTAATTTATCTTATTACTGTATTATTTATTATTAATTTTTTTTGTATTAATTTTTCATAAATTTATTTTTATTAGATATTGATTCTTATTAATTATAATTTTTATTCTTTTTGCTAATTCTTTTATTAATTATTAATTTAATTTTCATTTTCAATTTTTCACTAATTCTTTTATTATTAATTTTTAATTTTTTAATTTTTATTTATTTATATTTATATTCATTGTCCGAATGTTTTCGTTTTATTTGCCTTATTTTATAAATTATCTCAGACATTAAAAATTATTATATGACTAATTTATAAATAATTTTGTTGAAAAAATTTTTAATTTCAATTTTTATATTAATAAAAATATTATTAAAAATATTTAATTATTTTTGAAATAGTTAAACCATTTTTAATAATATTTAAATTTTGTTTTTCGAATTAAAATAATTATCTTTGTTTTTTTTTTCACTGATTTACAGAAAGATGGAAAATCCTGCAATGTCCGTGGAATTGATGAATTCATCACAGCAAAACTTGATAAGAGATTCAAATGATTTCAATGCACGTTATTTACTGAAGGTCACAAAGATTAAATGGATTATTCAAAATTTTAAAGTAACAAATACAAGAATATTTTCACATGAATTTAACATTGAAGGATATCCGAATAAAACATGTGTTATTGAACTCATTAATTTGAAGAATTCTTCACAGGATAGTGAATTTAGGTTTTTACTTTCTGACTCTTCCGTTAAGCAAACTAGAAGAACTGTACCAAGTTCAATAACATCAAGAGTGCAATTAAATTGTATCAATGTCATAAAAATAAAACTTACAATTGGCCAAAAACCGAAGAAAAAAACATTCTGTAAATTGGGTTCCAATTTGGAATTGAATCATATTATTAAAGGAAATGAATTAAAGGAGCTCGTCGCATTATCTTCAAATTCGTTACACGTGACTTTGAAAATTAAACCACAGCAGAAGCAAAAATCAAAAATCATTGGTTCACCATCAATGACAAAAACATTAAATTTCGAACCATTTTTCAATAATCGCAGTCACAGTGATGTTAGTTTTCTGATTAATGACAATAAATTTTATGCGCATAAAGTTATACTTGCCTCAGCAAGTCCGGAATTTGAGAGAATGTTCTCACATAATATGCAGGAGAAAATCATAAACAGTATTGAAATTAAGGACACGAATTCAAATCATTTCAAGGAATTATTGCGCCACATTTACATGGGACGAGTGGAAAATTTACAAAACATTGCCGTTGATATCTTCAAATTGGCTATTAAATATAATGTCGCTAGTTTGCAACAAGTTTGTGAAATTCATCTCGAAAAGAATTTCTCCATTAACAATGCAATTAGTATTTTTGAACTTGCCGATTGTCATAATTCATTGACGCTAAAGGAGAAATGCATTGAATACATTGATAAAAATTTCGAACAAATCAAAAATACTGAAGCATTCAAATCACTAAAGAGTGAATTATTAGTTGATTTTGTTTGCGCTGTGCGAAATAAGCGACCACGTATTTCGTAATTTTACTTTCCTCCACAAACGAAAGTTTTATTTCCAAAAAAAAAAAAAAAATTTTTTTAATTTTTTAAAATAAAGGAAATATTTAAGTATTAAAATTTTATCGTTATCGGAAAAAATGTATTATACGTTTGCATCGTTACATTGAGAAAATTGTATTTGAAATACAATTAGGTCTTCTTTTTTTTTACATTAAATATTCGTATTGTTACATCGACGCTTTTTGTTTTATCACATAATTAAAGAAGATTGTTTCACTTCGTGATATTTGATAGTTTAACGTTTGAAAATAGTAAAACTATTGTAGAATTATAAAGAAAGTTCTATTTTGTGATAGGAAAAACACTTTTAGATAGAAAACAATTTTTTTACTTCAAGATAAAAAAAACTTTATACGTAAAGAAAAATTGTTAATGTGTAGGAAAATGTTTGTAACTTTTCTACAATTAAAATAATTTTTTCTTTAATAGTTTCAATTTTTTGTTATTTTGCTTTAATTTACTACTATAGCAAAAATTCTGACTTCTCACTCAATTTTTTAAATAAAATTAGCAATTTTAAAAATAATCGATCGTAAAAATTTTTACATTTATTGACAAGAATAAAATATGAATTGGAATATTATAGTTTTAATGTTATTATAATTATAATAATCATATATTCCGACATAGGGAATTCAGGAAAAAGTCAGGAATTTTTATTAAAAGTATATTGAAAAAAATCAAATTTTTAGAATTCATAAGAAAATTTTGAATTTTTGTGTCTTTTTTGTTTGACTCATAAAATATAAAATTACCACGAATTCTAATACAAAACCTTCAATTTTTTCAATTTCTGACAAAAATTTCCTTTTAAATAACTTAAATCTTGAACAACTATCGTAAAACAAATAAATTATTTAATGAATAATTTTACTTAAATATTTCAAAATTAATTCAATTTTAAAAAAGTTGCGTTTACAATTTTCATAAATAAATGAACTGTAAACGGTTTCAATTTAAAATTTTAATGAACTTAGATTTTTGAAAAATTTTAATAACTCAAAAAACTTCTAAAATTAGTTAAATTTTGTCAAAAAATATATTTAATTAATTATTAAAACTAATGAATTTATAGCTAAGAATTTTAGTTAAAAACACTAAAAAAAATTGAATTTTGAAAAAGTTACAAATGATTGCAGAAATTCAATTATTTTCAAAAGCAATAAAATTCTTATCACAAAATTCAATTATGTTCAAAATTTACAAAAAAATATCGACAAAATTCCAATTATTATCTTTATAAATAAAAACATTCTTCTTCAAAATTCAATTATTTTCAAATATTTTAATAAAATTCTTGTCAAAATTTCAATTATTTTCATAAATTTTCCTCATTTCAAAAATTTTCATTTTCAATTATTTTTAATACAATAATTTTAAACAAATTCCTTGAAAAATGTAACTATTCAAAAAATTTTCTATTAAACTTCGTCAAAAGAATTCAATTATTTAAAAATTTGTTAATAAAACTCTTTATAAGAATTAAATTTTAAGAAACAATACAATTAAAAATTCAATCCTATTTCTAAAAAATGCAATTATTAGTAAATTCTTCAAAATTCAATTATTATATTTTAAAACTTTAACTAAAATTAATTATTAAAATCAATTTTTTAGAAGAAAATTCTAAGAGAATTAAATAATTAACGTACAAAAATAAATAATTTATTAAAAAATTGAATGTTTCTTAAAATTAAATTCTCATATAGAATTTTTACAATAAGTTTTTTAATAATTGAATTGTTTCGACGAATTTTAATAAAATTTTTAATTTTTTTTTTAATTTTATTTTAATTTTTCGAAAATAATTGATATATTTCGTGTAGAATTTTATCAAAACTTTTGTTTAATAATTGAATTCTTTTAGAAAAATTTAATTAAAATAATGAAATATTGAAAATCATTTATGTAAGAAAATTTTTTGAAAATAATTGAAATTTTGTCTTGAATTTTATTAAAAGTTTTATAAATAATTGAATTTTATTAATTTTGAAAATAATTGAATATTATTAATTTTGAAAATAATTGAATTCTTGTTGTAAATATCGTAATTTATGAAAGTAATTGAAATGTTGCCTTTAATTTTATTAAAATTTTTGAAAATAATTGAAATGTTGCCTTGAATTTTATTAAAATTTTTGAAAATAATTGAATATTATTAATTTTTCAAGATAATTGAATTTTTGTTGTGAATATCGTAATTTATGAAAGTAATTGAAATGTTGCCTTGAATTTTATTAAAATTTTTGAAAATAATTGAATTTTATTAATTTTGAAGATAATTGAATTTTTGTTGTGAATATCGTAATTTATGAAAGTAATTGAAATGTTGCCTTGAATTTTATTAAAAGTTTTGAAAATAATTGAAATGTTGCCTTGAATTTTATTAAAATTTTTGAAAATAATTGAAATGTTGCCTTGAATTTTATTAAAATTTTTGAAAATAATTAAATATTATTAATTTTGAAAATAATTGAATTTTTGTTGTGAATATCGTAATTTATGAAAGTAATTGAAATGTTGCCTTGAATTTTATTAAAATTTTTGAAAATAATTGAATATTATTAATTTTGAAAATAATTGAATTTTTGTTGTGAATATCGTAATTTATGAAAGTAATTGAAATGTTGCCTTGAATTTTATTAAAAGTTTTGAAAATAATTGAATTTGATTAATTTTGAAAAGAATTGAAATGTTGCCTTGAATTTTATTAAAATTTTTTGAAAATAATTGAATTTTATTAATTGTTAAAAATAATTTAATTTTGCAATGAATTTTATAAAAATTCCTGAATATAATTGAATTTCGGCGAATATTTTTTTCTATTTATAAAAATAATTTAAATTTTGATAATTTAAAATGAATTAATGTTAGAAATAGAAAAAAAATTGAAGGTTTTCTTAGAATTCGTAGTAATAATTTCATAGTTTATAAGGCGATCAAAAAAGACTCAAAAATTCAGAATTTTCTTATAAATTATAGAATTTAATTTTTTTCAGTATACTTTTAATAAAAATCCCTGAATTCCCTGATTTCCCTGACCTGTGGCAACCCTGAATAATATACAATATTATATCATTTTGCATTCAATATAAATATATTTATTAAATTATTAGTCATAATACATTGAATTTTTATTTTTAATTTTTTTTACATTACCAGCAAACAGAACAATGCTTTCAGTGCTTGTCTCATTAACATATTTAATTATTTTATAATGAAAAGGTCGATCGACTGAAAAAGTAGGCATTTGGGGATAAATGTTTTCATTAACCAGAGATGCGCTTTGGAATCCTGCAAAAAAAAAGTAATCCAATGAGATGAATATATAATTGGTTTCAATTAAATAATTTTAAATCGCAAAATAAAATTTTTACAAAAAAAAAATGTCCCTTACCAACGATTCCAGACGCTACGGTTCCTTGTTCATTTACGTCAATGTAAGATTTTTGCAAAAAAAGACTCACATGAGTCGCATTGTCTGATATACGAGAGAAATAATCCGATTCTGTGAACATTGCATTAACACCCATCTGCAATAGAAAATAACATAGAAATGTAAAAGAATGCAAAAAAGTTTTTAATCCTTTCGAAACAAATGTGATTCGTTATTAAAAAATTTTTACATCTCAAGTTTCTGGACTTACCTCGTTCAATGCGTTTGTCATTTCTAATTCGGTTTTAATTTGGAATTTTGGCATACCTAATCTAACAGGCATATAATTTCCATTACTCAAAATTTGTGTAAGAGTCATTGTTGCCAAACAATCTTCCACTTCTTCAAGACCATCTACTTTATAAGGAAGGATAATAATCATTGAAAATTGAGTGTCCTAGAAAATAAAAAATTGTAAGACTTACAATTTAAAAATAAATTTTTAAAATTATCCTAACCAAATGATAAATTCAACATCATACATTTTACTATTGTTGTTCATGAAATTTAAAAAAAATTTTTTTTTTTAATTTAAAATTTTTAATTTTTAAATTTAAAAAAAATTGAGTTGTAGGGCGTCTTTAAGTCAACTTGACACAATCATCTAACTCAATGTTTTATATTTTAACTAGGATAACCGAGTGGTAAATTCAAATATTTATTAATTATATTATGTAACATTTACCTCATAGGGCAGTTCAATGAATGAAGCACTTAAATCAGAAATCGGTCCTGTGATAAAAGAACTATCCGTATACATCATTGGTACATTTTGTTTATCACCGTCACTAGTAGAAAATGTGTTTTCTACAGTTTTTTCAGCACAAAACTTATTGAGCCATTTTGCTTTGAAGTAGACGGCATTTGTAACAATCATACTAGTAGACTCGTTTATTTTATCTGAAAAAGGCATATAAAATTATTAATTAATATTTAATAGGTAGAAACTAGGTTAGCGTTACAAAAAAATTTCGAAAAAATCAATTATTTATACAATTCTTCACAACAATTCAATTACTTTCACTAATAATAACATTTTTCAAAAAAAAAATCAAATTTAAAAAAAAAAATTTTTTTTAATTTAAACAAAAATTCAATTATTTTTACAAATAATAAAATTCATCAAAGAATTTCAATTATTTTCAAAAAAAATTAATTATTTTAAATATACAATTTTAAGTGAATTTCTTTAAAATAATTCAATTATTCTTTTAGATTTTAATAAAATTCTTCCCAAAGAATTCAATTATTTTCACCAAATAAAGTTTTCCACATTTATTCAATTATTTAAAGTAAATAATATTTATTATTATATTTTGAAAAAATTAATTATTTAAAATAATGTTTGTAAAATTCTTATGAAGAATTCAATTATTTTCAAGAATAACAAAAATTTTTCACAGAAATTCAATTCTTTTGAAATATTTTAATAAAATTTTTCTCAATAATTCAATTATATTTTCATAAATAATAAAATTCTTCTTTCATAAATAATACAATTCATATAAGAATTTTTATTTATTTTTAATAATACAATATTATGGAAATTGATAAAATAATGTAATTATTCTTAAAAATTTAATTTCAATTGCCAGAAAACAATTTTAAATTTTTATCAAAATTTAAATTATTTTTATAAATAGCAAAATTCTTCGCCGAAATTCAATTATATTCAGGAATTTTTATAAAATTCATTGCAAAATTAAATTATTGTCCAAATTAATAAAATTCAAGGCAACAATAAATTCAATTATTTTCATAAATAATAATAGTATTCATAACAAGAATTCAATTCTTTTCAAAATTAATAAGATTCAATTATTTTCAAAAATTTTAAAAAAATTTAAGACAAAAATTCAATTATTTTCAAAAATTTTAATAAAATTCAAGGCAACATTTCAATTATTTTCAAAAATTAATAAAATTCAATTTTTTTCAAAACATTTAATAAAATTCAAGGCGCAATAATTAAATTATTTTCAAAAAATTTTCTTAAATAGGTACATATTCTATTATTTTAATTAAATTTTTCTAAAAGAATTCAATTATTAAACAAAAGTTTTGATAAAATTCTACACGAACATGAACATTCAATTATTTTCCAATAAAAACTAAAAATTCCACAGGAATTAATTTATAATTTCCATTAAATTATTTAAAATAGAATTCTCATAAATTTTTTTAAAAAAGAAAAAAATGTTTTAAAATTCGCCATAAAATTCTTCGCTGTAATTGAATTATTTTCATAAATTTTAAAATTCTTTTCAGGGATATAATTATTTTCATAAATATAATAAAATCATTCGGAGAAAGTAAATTATTTTTATAAATAATAATATTCATTTTAAGAAATTAATTATTTTTAAAAGTAATCAAATTGAATTATTATAAAAAATTTTAATAAAATTCATTGCAAAATTTCAATTATTTTCAACAATTCTTCTTAATTCAATAATTTGTATATATCAATTATTTTAATGAAATTTCTCAAAAGAATTCAATTATTTAAAAACAATTATGACAAAATTTTACAATGAATATTCAATTATTTTCTAAAATAATGAAAATTTCACTGGAATTCAATTATTTAATTATTATTAATTTTTTCGAAAAAAATCAATTGTTTAAAACTTTTTTTTATACAATTTTTCGCAATAATTCAATTATTTTCAAAAATAATAAAATTCTTTTCTGAAATTTAATTATTTTTGAAAATTTTAATGAAATTTTTATAGCAAATATTCAATTATTTTCATAAATAATAAAATTCATCACAGGATTTTAAATTATTTTCAATAAAATTTTACAGGATATTTACTCAAAAAATTGTCATTATTCTTCAAAACTTAATTTCAAATCCTCGAAAATATCAATTAGTCAATAAAATGTTTTTTTTTTTAAATTGTTTGGAAGATTTCAATTATTTACAAAAATATTAGGATTCTTCACAGAAATTCAATTATTTTCAAATATTTTAATAAAATTGTTCCCGAAAATTCAATTATTTTGAGGCATTTTAATAAAATTCTTTGCAAAATTCAATTATTTTCATAAATATCAATATAAATATTCATCACAGGAATTCAATTATTTTTAAAAGTAATAAATTTGTTCTTGGAAATTCAATTATTTCTAAAAATTCTAATTAAATCGTTCGCAAGAATTCAATTATTTTCATAAATAATAAAATGTTTTTTAAGAATTAAATTATTTTCGCAATTCAATATCTACTATTTTCATAAAATTTCCAAACAGAATTCAATTACTTATTAAAAAAATTTTTTCTAAAAATCTTCCTAAGAATTGAATTTTTTTCATGAATAATAAAAATTTCTCAGGACTTTAATTATATTTAAATTAGAATTTTCATAAAATTAGTAAAAGAAACTGAATTATTAAAAATTTTTTATAAAATTCTTCGCAAGAATTAAATTATTTTTATAAATATTTAAAAATTCTTTCATAAATAATAAAATTCGTTGCAGGAATTCAATTTATTAGCAGGATTAGCAGGATAAGAAAGAAGTAAATATTTTTGATGAAACTTAGGAAAAAAGTCAGAAAAATAAAAAATATGAAATGGATTTTTTCAGTTTTGTGAAGTGTCTAAAACGAATTATTTTTTTGTTCGTCAAGTTTAATTTTTCTATAGCCACTTTTTTACTACTTTTTTTTTAGTTTGAAAACTACTTTTAGCTACTTTTTTAAAATTAATTATCAAGTGTGAAGTCTACAAAAGTTATTCAATTATTTAATATATTTTTTTGTTTATAAAAATTGTATTATAAACAAAATTCAAAAAAAAAAATTTTCATGAGCAGCTTTTTTGCGTAATAACTACTTCACTGTATACTTACCAAAATCAACAAGATTATCAATCTTGAAATCAGTCTCTTGTTCTAACCAAGAATTAATTTTGGCTGAAGCTCCATATGGATGAGAATAATTAACGGAATCAAGTTTTATTTTGAAAAAATTTGTTGATAACATTCTGAATTCATTCTTAATTGGAATATTCGCATTTATGAATAGTCCCGTTAAAATTTTTAGTGTCACATTCGCCTTTGCCTGAAGTTAAAATATATTTCATGCGTTTATAAATTTTTATATATACTTTTATCATAAGAAGAGTAATTGAAAGTATTTAATTTTTGCATATCTTACATACATGTAAATTGTCAACAAAGAATTGAAATTCTTCTCGTTTATTATTTTCTGGCGTTAATCCAATAGTATCTTTTATTTCTTTTAATGCTGTTGTATCGGAGGAGGATCCAAGTAAAGATAATGCAAGTACTTCACTAACTGGACTAATGACGAAGTTATATCCTTCATTTTTGGAAATAGTCTGAAGGCAAAGAAAAAAAATTTAATTAAATTAATAATTCCATCTTTTCCACTGCTTTTTTCAGATATTCTTTTAAATTATTTAAAAATAATAATTTTGTTTTAGGAAGTTACAATAAACACTCACTTTTGTTAATTTAGCACTAAAATGTTCGGCGGCTGCAATAAATGAGTTGTTTATGGCAACTTTTTGCTCTTCTGATTCTTTTATTTCATACAACTGTACAACCACTACGAAACGAAAATAGAATGCTGAAAAAAATTTAAGTTATTCGTTTTTTTTTAGTACTTACAATTAGAACAATTCACGATTGTATAATTATTGTATCCAATTGTATTTTATCACTTACATAACAACATTTTAATAAATTATCAACTTAATCTTTTTTCTCTTAAATGAAAAGAAATTCGTTTACTACAAGTAAAAATATTTTAAACAGTTGCTAGCACTTTTATATGTATTGATCGATTCTTTATTAATAATTCATTAGATTTGTAGAGCTGATGTAATTCTTCTTTTGAAAATTATTTACTAAAAGTTTAGTTTATGTGATATATTGTTTATAGAAGATTAAAAAAAAATTAGCTTTTCATTTACGTCAAATATTAAAGTTACCTATAGAACCGTGTGTTAGTTAAACAAAACTATTTCTTAAAATTCCAAATATGCATTAGAAACTTATTGTTATGGTTACTACGTCACAATTATTTCACATTTGTGTATATATTTGATTAATTGGTTAATTTTAGTAACCTTCAAACTGACAGTAAAATTAAATTAAATACAGTATTGTATTATTCTATATTACACAAAGTTCTTTGGAAACAATTAAATTATTTAAAAAGTGATGGGATCCGTTTCTTAATTATTCAATTAATCCGATAAGATTAATTAAAGATTCTCAAATAAAAGTTATATTTGATTGAAGTAAATATTTAATTCATATATAAGGGCAATTTTTGAGTAAAATAACATGTTTACCATAGTAATCAATATTTATTTAAATACTTTCAATTAAATTACATAGATATATTACAATTAAATATACTAAACCATTTTATGTTAATATTAATCTGTTACATAATTATTATTCAAATATAGCAAATGGATTTTCTTCAATTTTCTTAACATTACCAGCAAACAGAACAATACTTTCGCCAGAATCATCATTAACATTTTTAATGATTTTGTAATGGAAAGGCCGATCGACTACAAACGTAGGAACTTCAGAATAATTAGTGCCATCTACTACCAGGGATGCGCTTTGGAATCCTGCAAAAAGAGTTCCATGAATATGTAAGTAAGTAAGTAAGTAAGTAAGTAAGTAAGAGGGGTAAGGGGGTATTTCTATGTAAGTTTATATGTACTTTTAAATATATTTAGTGACTACGAGAATAATTCTGAATTATAGAAGAAAATTTAGGAATTTATTTGGAATTAATATTGAGTTTGGCCTTACCAACGACTCCAGATGCTACTGTCCCTTGTTCATTTACGTTAATGCAAGATTTTTGCAAAAACTGACTCACATGAGTTGCGTTCTTAGAAATACGATCAAAATAATCTGAGTCTGTGAATATTGCATTGACACCCATCTGCAATTAAAATATAATATTTTACTTTTATGTGAAATTGACACACTTTAAAAATATTGAAATTGTAATCAAAGATTTCTAAAACTCTTTGAGCTCGCTCATCCTGAGTAATAATAATAACTTTGAGATTTCAACCATCTCGACTACTTTGACTTACCTTATTTAATGCGCTTGTCATTTCTAATTCGGTTTCAATTTCGAATCTTGGCATACTCAATCTGACAGTTTCATTTTTGCCATTCTGTCTAAGTTCTTTAATAGTCATTGTCGCTAATTTATCTTCCACTTCTTCCAATCCATTTACTTCATTAGGAAGGATAATAATCATTGAAAATAGAGTGTCCTAGATAAGATAACCAATTGTAAGAATTATAATTTATAAATTGTAGTGTAACTTTATTTTTATAATTAATCGAACATTGTTCATCAACATTTACATATACCTCATAAGGGAGTTCAATAAATGAAGCATTTAAATCGGAAACTGATCCAGTTATGAAAGAATTATTCGTATACATCATTGGTACATTTTGTTTATCACCATCACTAGTAGAAAATGTGTTTATTACCGTTGAATCTGTATCAAACCCATTGAGCCAGTTACCTCTAAAGTTGACAACATTTGTAACAATCATACTTGTGGACTCGTTCACTTTTTCTAAAAGACAATAATTTATCACAACTTATATTTTTTTTACAAAATTTTTAAGACAAATTTTTTAAGACAAATTTTTTAAGACAAATTTTTTAAGACAAATTTTTTAAGACAAATTTTTTAGGACAAATTTTGTAAGACAAATTTTTTAGTATTAATATTATATCTATTATAAAGATAAATCTTCGCGCTCAAAAAAATATCAGAATTTTTCGTAATAAAAAGCAGGTTACTATATGGGTATACTAACCAAAATCAAGGATATTATCAATTTCGAAATCTGTCTCTTCTTCTAGCCAAGAATTAATTTTGATTGCAGCACCATATGCATCGGAGTAATCAATGGAATCAACTTTTATTTTGAAAAAGTCCATCGATAAATTCTTAAATTCACTGATTATTGGAACCTTTGAATTTATGAATAGACCAGTCAAAATTTTAAGTGTTACGCTAGTATTGACCTGAAGTATAGAAATAAATATAAATTTTGATATTTTTACCGAATAATATAATTGATAGTATTTTATTTGCGGCATTTATATCTTACATGTAAATTGTCAATAAAGAATTGAAATTCCTCTCTTGTATTAACTTCGGGCGTTATGCCCATTGCATCTTTAATTTCCGTTAAAGCTGTTAAATAGGAGGAAGAGCCCAGTAAAGATAGAGCAATTACCTCACCAACTGGGCAGGTGACGACGTTTTCTGTTTCGTTTTTCGAAATAATCTGAAAATGTAGAAAATATTACTATAATTTCAGTAATTATTGAATTTCCCAATCTGAAAATGATTGAAATGATGACTGATTTAGAAAAAATTATAATTTTATAATTTATTATTGTTGGTGAACACTTACCCTTGTTAATCTAGCACTAAAGTTTTCGGCAGCTTTAGTAAACGGATGGAAATTCTCCGCTGCTACAGTCAACTTTAGGATCAATAGAAGACAAAAACATAATGCTGAAAAAATTTATTTTTTTAATTTTTACATAAGTCTTTATAATTATATAGTAGAAGAGGAAAATAAAATATAAATTATATAAAATTAGAATCTATTTTGCTTCATTTTCATCGTAAATTAATATTTATGCAATATGGTAACTTTTCCAATGTCTTATTTTAAAAAATTACGTTAAAACCTACTGATGTATTCTATTATACTTACATGGCTTCATTTTTGCAGATTAATTCAATCTTCTTTCTCTTGAATGGAGGAAATTAACTTAATTCGACTTCTCTAACTATGAACACATTTTGAGAAGAAATTATTAGCCCTTTTATATGTTGTCGATTTTTAATTAATAATTCATTAGGTTCAGAAAAATGCTGTAATTCTCTATTAGAAAATTATTTACTTTGTGTTTAGTTTATGCAAAATATTGTTTATTGAAGATTAAAAGATAAACGTCACTTATTTGTAAAGTTTTTTAGAATACTAAGAAAACTGTAACTTAAAGTTGAAAAAAATTATTCTTGTCATTCCTAACATTCTTGCAATATTTGTCTCCTGTGTACGTCATAATTATTAAACATTTGTGCATACAATAGATGAAATGGGTATTATCTTTGTAACCTTGATATACTAATTTTTAAATTGAATTTTGTTAAATTGCGCAACACTATACGTGTCTTATTTACATTGAACTACACATGTGAATTATAAGAAAATTAATATTTTAACCCTTTAACTGTTTGAGAAAAATCTATCATGATTTCCTCCATTGTGAAAAACCGGGAATAAGTCAGAAATTATATTCCAAACCGGGAATTTTCTCACCAAATTAGAAAGAACTTTATCATTTTAATTTGTGTTTAAAAAATCGCTTTTTATTTCAATTTTTATAGATATTTATACTGTTCTCTAAATTTAAATCAGTTAAAAATGTAATTTTATAGTTAAAAATCAGTCACTCATTCAAATATAGTATGTAAATAAATAAATTACAAAAAAATTATCCAATTAATAAAAATTTCGTGAAATTCAACTGAAAATAATAAATTTTATTAAAGAATTTCATTGAAAACTTTTTAACAAATCAAATTTTCAAAATATTTTAACTTAATAATTGATAAATAATTAAATTTTATAAGGAGTCACATTCTAATGTATATTCATGTTTTCTAGTGCGAAGATTAATAATTAAAATTTTTATTTGTTAATTTAAAAAAATATATACACTTCAAATGTTTTCAATAAAATTGAATTTTCGCAAAGTTTTTTTGAAAATTTTGAAAAATAAGATTTTAAAATTTTTTTAATTCTCTTGTTTCAAGATAATTGAATTTTTATAGACAAATAATTGAAAATTTTTGATATAATTGAAATTTCTTTACATTCTATGTAAAAATAATTTACTTCTTTTAAAGAATTTTATTTCAATTCTTCGAAAATAATCCAGGGAAGTTAATCACCGTAATTATAATTTTATTTTTAAAAATTTCTTCGCAATACATTCAATTATTTTCATAAATAGTAAAACTTGAAAAATGAGAATTCTTGAGAATTTTATTAAAATTCGTCGAAAGAATTCAATTATTTCTAGAAACTGTAAAAAAAATTCTTCTCAAGAATTCAATTATTTCCATAAATAACAAGAATTCAATTATTTTCAAAAATTTTTTTTAATTTAATAATTTGTATGTCTACTATTTTAATAAAATTTCTAAAAAGAATTCAATTATTTAAAAACAATTTTGACAAAATTCTACACGAATATTCAATTATTTTCTAAAAAAACGGAAATTTAATATGAATTGCATTATTAAAAATAGTTTCTAAATTTTTTTTTTAAAATCAATTATTTGAAACTTTTTTATAAAATCCTCGCAATAATTCAATTATTTCCATAAATAATAAAACTCATTGCAGAAATTAAATTATTTTTTCTACAATTCTAATCAAATTCCTTGAAAAATGTAATTATTCTTAAAAATTTGATTAAAATTCGTCGAAAGAATTCAATTATTTCAATTATTTCCATAAATATCAAAATTCTTCAGATTTACTAAATTCTTTTGAATATTATTTTTGAAAAATATTCTTCACAAGAATTCAATTATTTATTTATTTATTTAAGTAGTAAACAGAACTATGCCCGTTTGTTTATTTATTTTCATAAATTTTTTTAAAAATTCTAAAAAACAATTCAATTATTTTCAAAAGTAATAAAATTCTTCGCAGAAATTCAATTATGTTTAAAATTTTTTTTTGAAATTCTCTTCGCATTTCAATTATATTTATAAATAATTAAATTGTTCTCCACAATTCAATTATTTTCATAAAAATTTTAATAAAATTCTACGCAAACATTTAATTATTTTCATAAATATGTAATAACAATTCTTTCTGGAAGGATTCAATTACTTTTATAAATAGTGAAATTCTTTGCAGAAATTCAATTAGTATCAATAAATTTTAATGAAATTGAATTAATCAAATTTTCAATTATAAATATGAACAAATACGATTTTTTTTAAATTGAAAAAATTCTTTGTTTAATTCAATTATTTTCCAAATTTTTAATTAAAATTATTAAAAAAAAACAATTTTCAAAAAATATCAAGAAATACTCCTCAAAACAATTTAATTATTCATATAGTTAATACTAAATGATACTAAACATATCGATGTAAGTAATTTTTTTATTAAACAACAAAATTAATACAATCAACGAAAGTTTTCAACTGTTTTCAATGTTCACTGAAATAATATATAAAGTTTCTTTGATATTTAATTTTCTTCGTCTGATGTACTCTATCTTCATTATAACATAAGAACTCTCATCAATTATACATTTCGGTTATTCGTTAATATATTCACTCGAAACAATATTTATATAATTATTAAGGAGTATCAACAAAATAATTCAACCTTGCTTGTATAACAAAAATTATGAAGTAATTTTACAATTTCTAAAATTCTCTTACACTGCCAGCAAACAAAATTACATTATCATAATCATTAATATTTTTAATTATTTTAAAATGAAAAGGATGATTTACTGCAAAAGAGGCCACATTAGAAGAATTTATACCATCATCATCATCACCCTCATAATCGGATTCTTCCACTGCAAAAATAATTAGAATAAAATTTAAATGTATTATTTCTCTGTCTATATTTAACGAAAATAATTATTAGGATAGTAAACTATATATATGAAAACAGTTAGTAATTACCATCGTAACTGCTTGACTCAGTGCCATCTTCATAGACCTCAATGAAAGACATGTCATAATATCTAGACACATTACAGTCATGTTTTGAAATGCGAACAAAATTTTGTCTATAATCGAAAATTTCAGAAATACCCATCTGCAAAGAAAGACATTTAATTTGCAGTTGTGATTTTTTGTTACAGGTATACAAATTTTATTCAAGTTATGGGATAATGTAGCATAAAAATTTCAAAATCAAAAATGTCAAATAATCCAATATGGCGGAATTAGTAAAAACTTACCGACTTCAAAGTGCTCGACATTTCAGTAAGTTTTCTAATTTTGAATTTAGGTATACTCAATTTAACATGTTTAGATTCTCCATTTTCTGTAAGTTTTTGTATATTTAATGTTGACAATTTATCTTCTACTTCCTCGAGGCCGTTTATTTCATCAGGAAGGATTATAATCATTGAAAATTTCTTGTTCTGAAAAAGAAAAGTTGTTTGTGTTTTATGATTTAAAGAATGAACTGCGGATATTTCGGAATTTGACTTATTTTACTTGATAAGGAACACAATTGTTGATAAACATTTTACCTCATAAGGAAGTTCTATGAATGACGCCTTTACGCCAGGAATTGATCCAGTATAAAAAGAACCGGTTCGATACATCATTGGTACATTATATTCTTTTTTGCTAGTAGTGAATTTTTCATTGATCGTGTTTCCAATTGGAAACTTATTAAGCCAATTACCTCTGAAGTAAACAACATTAGCAAGAAACAAACTAATAGCATTGTCTATATCTGAAAATGATTTAAACAATATTATTGTTAATACAACAAATAATTTCTGAATTATTTCATTTCTTTATCATAAAGACGGAATTTATGTAAAAAGGTTTAAATTACCAAATTTAAGATCTCCTTTAAATCTATAATCATTGTCATTTTCTATCCAAGAATTTATGATTTTTGATGCCGACGGATAGGTGAAATTAACGTTCTCAATATGTGCTTTGAAAAATATTTTTGATACGCAAGCAAAACGGCGATATATTCTCACATCAGGACTTATAAATAATCCTGTCGAAACACTAATTGAGACATCCTTATCACCCTGAAGATAAATAGTAGAATTTAATAATTTTCTGCTCCTAACCCCATAAAAAATATGTATTTTTATATTTTCTATAACTTACAACTAAATTATCTGTGAATAATTTAAATTTGGATCGTTTAAGGCTATCCAAAGTTAATCCAAATGCTTCCATAATTTGGAAAATTGCAGGAGAAGAAGAGAAGGATTGGAGATATGTCATGGACATTACATTACCTGCCGGAGAAACCAGAAAATTACCATCAGGTCTTTGCTTTGAATAAGACTGAAAATCAAAAACAAATTAATATTTTGAGTCTTATCATTCTATTAATGAAAACAATATTAAAATTGGAATTTTTAAACAGTCAAGTTTTAACTTTTAAGTAATCTGATATTTTTACATGTTGCTCTTATATTGACACTCACCGCTGTTAAATTAGCACTAAACTTTTCAGCTCCTTGTACAAATGAAGTTACTTGCTTTGCTGTTGCAGTCAATTTTAGAACCATTATAATACAAAAACATAGTGCTGGAAAAAAATATAATCATTCGCAAAAGTTTAAACAATATCTTTCACAATTTCCTTTTTTTACTTATTTAGTGATTTTAAAAACTTTGCTCAAAGCATGTAGTGGATTTATAGTTTTTACTGGATTACATTCGAAGAACATTTAGACTTTAAAGAAAGATAAAAAAAATTTCCAAACTTTCTGTAAACTTCCTTAAAAATACTGTGATATGTGGGTATACAATATTCTTATATACTTACAAAACTTCATTTTTTTGAAGATTAGCAAAAACCACTTCTTTCTCTTTAACACTTGCAATCCGTTTTTCAAAATGATATTAATATTAAAATCAATTATGTCAGTTCTTTTATAAGCAATCGATGGTTCGTGAATAAAGAATTTATTAGGTTTAACGAAAATATACTATTTTTGACTAGTAGCTTATTTGTTCAGAACAAAATTAATTCACTTTTTTGTTTATTCTAGATCGAAAGATTTACGTCACACTTCTATCAAATATTTACATTAAAGAAATATAAATTTGTAATTTTATTTTTTAATTTCAATAGAGTTTTTACATTGTACATAAAGCGTCAGAATCCTTCCAATGCAAAATCATTTTAATTTTATTGAATATCATTTTATGTGCACAACGTGTTAGCACATAAGATCCAATGCAGAATCTTCTAGAACCCCATGTAAATGTAAATATATAAAATTTAGTGGAAAAAGAGAAACACTATTAGTATAAAAATATGGAGCAAATATTATTTATTGATAAAATACATAAACAGTTGTTATTTTAATCATTTTTGTAGTATTAGATGATATTAAGTTTTTTTTTAAATTGCTATCTCAATAATTTCTTTCGCATTTACGTATTTCGGGGCTGAATTGTATCAATAACACCAAATAAGTCGTCACGGATGCTATGAACTGGAAAAGAATTTATTTATGAATTTACTCATCAGTCATATATATCATATTTGGTTGTGTTATTTTTTGAAAAATATATTTTCAATAATTATTGAAAATATATCATCCAAATACTTACTCTTCGCACAAAGTCATAATCAAGAGAAGATAATCCACATGCAGTAAATGCCAAAGGACGTTGTGTTAATTGTAAACCAAATTCTTCAATCTATATGAAAACAATTAAAAAATCATTCTGAATATTAAAAAATCGAAAAAATATATAATAATAAATCTTTTTTTAACACGACAAAAAAAATTTCTTACCTCCTCAATAATTTCTTTATCTTTATTTGAATTTTTTAATTCATAAAGAATATTCCTAGTTTTGCGCGCCTAAATATTAAGAAACAAATTTATGCGCAAATGTATTTTCAATATAGTTTCGAATGACAAAAAATTATATATGATGAAAAACAATCACGTACCTCCGCACTGACCCTGGCACAGGTGGTATTTATTTTTAAAAATCGATAACAATAAACACTGAACCATATTGTCGTACTGATTAAGATTCTTAATTTATCCTTTAATGTTTCATTTACAAAATAGAAAAATGTGAATAGATTGTATAAGAGACCTGTTATTATAATGAAATGTGCTCCCATTTTCATCATCAATTGTTTTTCATAAATTCTATTAAGCTCCCAGGATATTTTTGATAACTCCATATGAAGATATCTAGAACCATAATTTTTTTTTATAATTACAGTAAATTTTAACTTAAATTAGTAAATTTTTACATTATAAAACAATAGTTGTGTTTCTTTTTCATTTTAAAGGAAATAAAAAAAATTTTTTTTCTCACCTTACTAAAATCAAGACCTTCAATTGCTTCGAATTGTCAGTGAAATTAATGTTAAATTCTTTAGTTGCCATTAAAACATGAACTTTACTATAATTTGGAAAGACTTCTCTCACTTTTTCTATTTGATTGTAAATTGGTAAAGTTCTTTCTAAAAGTGAATTTATATTTTCGAATCTTCTTCCTAAGCATCTGAGAAATTAAAAAAGTTATTGAATTGGTAAAAATGTGTTAAGTTTTAATTTATCAGAGATACATAATTATCTAAATATGAAACCAAATTTGTTGTTCAAAATTCAAAATGGCGGATGAAATATGGCGAACAATTATAATCGTTCGTCATATTTCATCCGCCATTTTGAATTTTGAATTAAGTTCAGATTTTTAATCCAAGGACCCCAAAAATCCCCGAGTAAAAAATACATAAATCAAAACACATCTCTGGGGTTTTGAAATTCTGTGAGGCTGCTCTTGAAAAATTTTAGCTTCATTTTTACATACCTGGTGGAATTTAAATAATCTAAGTATCTAAGAATTTTTCTTACGTTACCAATGATGTGAATGTGAAGTCAACAACAGAATTTAGATGAAGTGGGAAATGAAATAAATATATAAGATTAACACTTGTCGACCAATCATACATTGTTAAAAAAAGATTAAAGTCACTATAAACTAAAATAGTAACTACAATGCACCACGTAATTACTCTTTTCACTGAACTAAGAAAAATTTTTCGATATTTATTCGGAAGACCCAAATATTCCAAACCTTCGTCCAATGATTCTAATCTTTGAATATTAACCTTGAATGCCTTGAAAAAAAAACACAAAGTTTTATATTTATTAACTGAAATTAAAAATTTAACAACAAAATGAAAATTCAAACAAAACATTAAAATGTAAAAATTGAATTAAAAATTAAAAATTAAAAATTATAAATATACAAATAACACACCTTGTAATTATACCAGCCAATCAAAATTGAACAAGTACCAACAATTACATTGACACATACAATTAATAAAAAAATATTTCTTCCAATTTGAGTTACACCTTGATTTTTCACACTTCTCGCAGAAAGTGCAACGAACAAATATGAAAAATTCAACAATAAAACATAAATAAAAGTGAATACAGGTCGTGGTTTTGCTAATGGATATTCAAATATATTTAATCCTGTAATCCAATTCAATATTAATACTGGTACAATTGAATCGTGAATATTTTTTGGTTCCCATTTAAAAATTTTTAAAAAATAAAGTGAATATTTCTTTTTCTGAATTTTTCTAAACATTTTGTTTTTTCAATAAAACACTGTTCACCTTAACAAATCATGCAACTCTGATTTATTTCAATAGGGGAGATTTACTCATACGCTTTCTCATTATGTTCATAATCATTAAATATCGATTACCTAATGGTAGATTCGAATGTAATACAATTACCTGAATTTTACATTATTAATGAAAGACATCAATATTATAAATGAATTTTTTTTTTTTTTTTGTGAATTATCAAGTGAATTATCTATTAGTTGTCTACATTACATTGAATTTTCAATTCTGCGAAATTACTTTCTGATAGTTGAATATATGTATATTACTGAGAACATTTATTTAATATATGAACTGATTAAAATTAGAGGAGTGTTTGTTATTAGAATAATATTATTAATGAAAAAAATAGAATATAGTACAAATTATTGGCAACCGTCAATAATTTATATCTTAACTTGCATTAAAAAAAAAAAAAAAAAAAAAAAAAAAAAAAAAAAAAAAAAAAAAAAAAAAAAAAAAAAAACGGCAGTGGCATTTTGAAAAATTTTTAAATTAACATATGAATTATAAGTCATTTGAAGCATTAATTAATTAATTAATTAATTAATTAACTATATTAATTTGAATGTTCTTTCATTCTTTCATTCACTTTTTCTGTCCCTCACACTCTGAAGTTGTCTTTTGTTTATACTTTTGTTTTTTGTTAACTTTAGACAGAAAATAGAAATCATCAGAATTTTTTTTACTTCTTTTTATTAAAAGACTAAAATTTTGTTAAATATTATGTTTTGTCAAATTGAAATTATTTTTGTTCTTTATTTCTCTAAAAAAATTAGAAAATTATTAAACAACTGTGATTAAGAAATAGAAAATTTATTTATTTTCCATTATTTTCTTTTTCATTCACAATTTTTTTAAGAAAATTATTATTTTGTTTTAGAAAAAGAAGAAAAATATTTGCACAATTTATATTTTTAATCTTATCTTTGGAACAGGATTTTCCACAGGAATTAAGACATTCAAAAATTCAAACCTTTTTTAAATTAAACAACTTATAAAAGTATTTGTTATAAAACATGAAGATATCGATTGCTCCGAGTCGAAGACTCGGAGTGATCGATTTCTTCATGTTTTCTAATAAATTAAAGATGACCGAGAGATAAAATCATTATTTTACATTATAAGAATATTGTTACTGTAACTTCATCAAATTTTCATCATTTTAATTTAATTATTATTTTCTAGAATTTTAAATTATTTTTTATGAAAATAATAATTGAATTCCTTAAAAAATTTTATTATTTATGAAAATAATTGAATTCCTTGTGAAATTTTAATTATTTTATGAATATAATTAAATGTTTGCGCAGAATTTCAATAAAATTTTTAAAAATTAAATTCTTTTGAAAAATTTTAGTAGATATTATAAAAATCATTAAATTGAGGAAAATTTTTAAAAATAATTGAAATTTTTGCCGAGAATTTTTTCAAAATTTTTAAAAATAATTGAATTGATTCGAAGAATTTTATCAAATTTTCTTAAAATAATTGAATTTTTGCAACGAATTTTATTAAAATTTTCAAAAATAATTGAATTCTTATGAAGAATTTTTATTAATTTTTTTGTTAAATAATTGAATTATTGCGAAAAAATTTATAAAACATTTGCAAATGATTGAATTCTTGCAAAGAATTTTATCAACAAATTTGATACTAATTGAATTTCTTCGAAGAATTTTATTGTTTATGAAAATAATTGAATTTAGGAAGAATTTTATTAAAATTTTACATATAATCTTAATTAAATTCTTTTGAAGAATTTCTTTGAGTTTCTTTAAAATAATGGACTTTCTTTAATCATTTTAATTACAAGTTTTCAAAGTAATTGAATTCTATATGAATATAATTTCTTTCAAGTTTTTATAATAATCCTCTTTCTCAATAATTGAAATTAAGCATTTAATTCTTGAATTTTATTAAAAAATTTTGGAAATTGATTTTTTTTGAAAAATTTCTTTAATTTATTGAATAAAATCGAATTTTTTAATAATTGTATTGAAAATAATTGAATACCTGAGAAGAATTTTATTATTTATGAAAAATACTTTAATTCTTGCAATGAATTTTAATAATATATTTCTTTTTAAATAATTGAATTCTTTTGTGAATTCTTTTATTGAAATAGTAGATATTAAAAATAATTGAATTTTGATATTATTGAAATTAATTTAATTCTACGAAGAATTTAATTCAAATTATTTTGAAAAAAATCGAATTGTTAAAAATTATTTCATTAAAATCTTTAAAAATTAATTTTAATAAAAATTTTAAGAGTAATTACATTTTTTTTTTTTTTTTTATATTAAGATTGTACCAAAAATAATTAAAATTCTGAGATGATTTTGATTATTTATGAAAATAATTGAAAACCTACATACCTATAGAATTTTATTATTTATGAAAATAATTGAATTCCTGGTTAAAAAAATGTTATTCTTCATGAAAATAATTGAATTATTGCGAAGAAATTTATAAAAAAATTTGTAAATAATAGAATTCCTCTGAAATTTTTATTATTTAATTCATTCATTCAAAATTGTCATTTTCTAAAATTTCAAATTAAATTTTTTTTTAAATAATTGAATTAATTTTGGGAAATATTTTATTAAAATCGTAGATATTGAAAATCATTAAAATTAGAAAAATTTCTGAAAATAATTGAATACTTTGGAGAAGAATTTTGTTATTAATAAAGATAATTGGGATTTTTACGAGAATTTTTTTTCAAGATTTGAACATATAGTTGAATTTAATAAGAAGAATTTTAAATTTTACAAATTTTAAATTTTACAAAATTGAATTTTTTTAGTATTTTCAACAAAAATTTAAATTAGAAAATTTTCAAATTTTATTATTTTTAAAATTGCTAATTTTATTTAAAAAAAAAAAAGGTAGTAAGAAGTTAGCCGCGCGATTTGTTGCTAGTTATTATTTAATTAAAACGGTTTCGAAATTAAACAATTTCAATCAAACATTAGAATTTAGATGTTGATTAATGTATACGATGGTTAATACGATTGAAGGAAGTAGAAATGCAAAATAGTAAGTTTTACGTCATATTTAAAATACTTAATTTTCCATCACTAATCACTATATAAATATTAAATTTTACGTCACAATATAAATAATATTATTTAAATAGATTTTTCAAAAAAGTACCACTAGATTGTTTGATAACGCATAAATTACCCTTTAAAATTAAGTGTATATGAATTAAATAAAGTGGTTTTTTACACTTTGAGTATTATTATAATATTTTGTTATCTACGAATTTACATTCAAAATTTATGTCAAAATAATTGTTTGAAGATATTTGTTAGTTTATTCGAAATTCCTTATTCTATGTTAATATTGATTTTCTTACGAAATTTTCGATAATAATTGAATATATAAAAGGACAAAGCATTGACAGCTGAAGTCAATGATTATTAAAGTTCTCGCAACAAAAACTTGCAATCATGACGAGTCCTATTTTGCTTTTGTACGCTACATTTGTCCTTAGTGTAAATATAAAAAAATTATTTAACTTCATTTTTAATTTAACTTATTCATTACTTTTGAAATTCTTCTTTTGACATTTTCACCACCTTCATAATAAATATTTTAAAATATTAATTCTTTCTTAAAATTATAATTGTTGTTCTTCATACTACTATTTTAATCATGCAACAAACTTATTTCATTTATATTAATTCCCGATTTATTTTAATATTAAAAAAATTGTATTATAATTTAAGGCAAACTAATAAATATTTTCAGGTTTCCAGCTATAAAATTCTTAATTATGAAGATGTTATTAATATAAAGAAAGATTTAAAACTTCGACAGCATGAATAACCCACATAGCACCATAGTATGAGGTAAGGTTATGTTGAGTACTAATCGTAAGGCACATAAGGTTACACAATATTGCTGCGGTAGACCTGAGGTGAACTAAAAACTTCCGCCATGGAGGTAAGGTTACATGTTAGGG